GGTCTCAGTGAGCTGCATTTCCATCCAAAACAGGATGAGGGTCGGGGTTATATCAAGGCTGCCGACTTGATCGCAGCAGCGACGCAAGTGAAGGGCAGTCCGATTGCAGCAGGGAGTGGGCTGCTCGCTCCTCCACCACCAGGTCTGCGCTCCCAACGGAAACCTCCCATCCTGGGCTGCCGCTGTCAGTTAAGATGTCGCTTTGCATCTTCTCGCATGGATGTAGGACCACATCTTTTTCACTGGGCCTAAGTCAGGGGTATGGGACCGGTGGCAGTCCCAATATGGCTTGACTCCAAGTCCTCTCAGTTCCATCCCGCTTCGGCAATGGCCAGGCACAAGCAAGGCGATAGTCAAATGACATTTGGAAGGCCACCAGTTCCCCATCCTGAACTAAATTAATCTGTCTTGTCTTAAAATGAAACTTTGACTTCATTTTCCCCCTCCCAAACAAAACCAGGAGTACTTCCTCCTTCACCGCCCACTTCTTTCACTGCCCACGGCACCATATAGCAATAATGATGCAGATACTCCCACGGCTGTATTGATTTTTTTTTTAGAGTCTTGGATCGCATGAGTCATGCATGGTTTGGCCCTGAGCCAGTGAGCCTCACAAAGTTATACAGGTCTACTCAGATGTAAGCTCAGATGTGAGCTGAAATAGGGGGTCCCTGGTCTTTCTCCATGGGGCCTTTGTGCCGTCCCGTTTCCTTCAGCCACCTCGAAAGAGTAGCATGTGTCTTTTCATCAACAAAACAGCAATCGCCTAAGAAGTGGACTCTTGCTCTCTTACAAGAAAAGCTCATCTTAAGCAGAAATGGAAAAAAAAACTCAACAGGTTAAGCCTTTCAGTTCCTCAACAAATTACCTGTGGTGCCTGTTTTCCCCTTTCCCTGAAAAATTCCTTTTCTTGTAAGAGGCTTAAGTAGCCCAGTTTGGGTTTTCGCTTGGGCACAAATAAATGCAAGGGAGTTGCTGATCAGCCTCATACGGTTGGGCTGTTCGTTTACACTGACTCCACGCATACGCAGCGGAAAGATGCAGAACCTTGCATGGCCTTCCATTTTCCAGAGTCCCAGATCGCCGTGTTTCGGGGACGTGCACACTGTTGCCCTTTACAGAGGAAGAAAAAGGGTAAGTTGGGGCAGCAAGTTTGGCATCAAAGGAAGGCATCGTTGGGCACTTTCTGCGGTCCTACGCTTCAGCAGCGGCTCCCCAGACTTCCTCCTTCTCTTCAATGCAGCGTTTTGCTGGTCCACCTGGTTCCTTGGGCTCCCTGCCTGTTAAGCGAGCGAGAGAACAGGAGTGAAGAGTGAGAGAGACGGGTGGCAATCTCAGCCAGAAGACGGCCGTGCCAAACGAGAGGGCCCATTGAGAGGCTCTTGCTCAAAGGCTCTTACAAACCTAGCGCTAGGACTAAAGTGAGGACACAGCCCAGGAAGGAAGGCTACCAAACCAGGCACAGGGCGGAGAAAGAGGACGGGGAGACGTTTTTCTCCCTCGCCCTTAACACTCGAACCCCACAGGGGCAGCCCATGAAGCCAAGGGTGGGCAATTCAGAACAGGTGAAAGAATATATATGGAATGATATATATTGTGGAGTTAAACTATGGCATTCATGACCACAAGATGGCCACCATTAGGTTCGGCTTTCAAAGGGGGTTGAACACATTCATGGAGGAGAAGGCTCTCCATGGCTATCAGATCTCTAGGTCTCCATACTACTTCTAGCATCAAAGGCAGATTGCCTATGAATGCCAGTTGCTGGGGAACATGGGCAGGAGGGTGCTTTATTTATTTTTTATTTATCAATTTATATCCTGCCTTTTTCCTACAAAGGGCTCAAGGCAGCTTACATCATTCTCCTCCTCCATCTTATCCCCACAACAACAACCCTGTGAGGTAGGTTGGGCTGGGAGTCTGTGACTGGCCCAGAGTCACCCAGTTGGCTCCATGGCTGAGCGGGGAGTAGAACCCAGGTCGTCTGAGTCCCAGTCCCACGCTCTTCACCACTACACCACACTGGCTCTCACTGGCTGTTGTACTCATGTCCACTGGGGCACTGGTTGGCCAGTGTGTGGACTAGATGGACCCTTGTTCTGATCCAGCCGGGCTCTTCTCATGTTCTTTTTTTTTTGGTTGGTTTTCAAGTTTTTATTATTTTCTACCAATAAAACAATGATTATTCAAAAGACATCGGACATACTGGGTTGCTATCTTATTCTCTTTACAATTAATGTATATTTTAGTCCTAGGTATAATCCTACTTCTCTAGCCATTGATTAAAAATTCCCAAGTTTGGTAGTAGCATGTGCCTTCTTTTTCCTTAAGAGACCAAGTCAGTCTGTCCATTTCCGCACAGTCCAGTAACTCTTTAAAATCAGTTCTTCAGTCGATATTTCGTCGTTCCTCCAGTGTTGTGCCAATACAATCCTCATCACTCTGTTTACATGTAAAGTCAAATATATGCTTTGTTTGTCAAAGTCATCAGGGAGAATGCCTGACAAAAATACTTCTGGTTTAAATATTACAGGACTTCGCAACATTTCCCCAAGCCATCTGTGTATTTTAACCCAGTATTTTTTGCTTCATCACAAGTCCACCACATATGAGAAAAAGTACCAGGCTTTTGTTTACATTTCCAACATCTATTTGACATACTTGAAAACATTTTTGCTAATCCATTCAGCGACAAATACCATCTATAAAACATTTTATAAAGGTTTTCTTTATATGAGGTTACCAAAGTTATCTTGATGTTCCTTTCCCACAATTTTTGCCATTTCTGCAACTCAATATTATATCCAAAGTGTTGTGCCCATGATATCATAGCTTCCTTTACTTGTTCCTCTTCCATTTTCGTATCTAAGAGAAAGCTATACAATCTTTCAATCATTTTTCATCTGATTTTAAAATTATTTGATCCAACATTGTTTGTTCCTTGTAAAATCCATACATTTTATAATCTTTGGCATACCTTGATTGTATTTGCTCTTCTCGTGTTCTTATGAACACATGGACTTTGGAGAGGTAGAGACAGTGGACTGATGCTGATCAGCCACCTCCAGATGTTAATCGGGGCATAAGATCTGGTTGTTTAAATAGGGGTTTTATTGTTAATTGAATTTTCAGGATGCTGTGTTTTATTTTGTATTATTAAACTGTCTGGAGACTTCGATAATAGGATGGTCTAGAAAAGTTTTAAATAAATAAATAAGATGCTGGCATGAATAAGCTGGAACAGAACAAACAGAAGAAAAAGTACATTGTCTTGTAGCAGCTGTTAAGATCAGATCACAAACCCCAGTTCTGCCCCCACTTACTGTGCAGAAAATGCGAACAGTGTTAGTCCAGTATATGGAACTAACAGATCCAAGAGGCAGTGTCTCTTGTGGGAGACTTGGCTTTAGAACATGACTAGAGAAGAGTTAAAATGAATAACTAGGCCGATAATAAAAATAAATTAAAACTGATAGAACTGTTAAAGTATCAAAGGGAACTCAACGAAGAGACTGCTGCTCCGCTGCCATCTTGGAAATTCCACCAGTCCAGCATATGACTGCATGTTCCAGATCTTAAGGACTGGCTCAGCTTTTGGAGATCCTGAGCACACAGACACGCAGACGCTTGTTTGCACATAAAGCTCCGCTCATCTCTTCTGCTCCAGCTCCCCCTGCCCCACAACCTGTTGCCCCCCAAGAAGCATTGCATGAGAACTTGCTGCGTCTGTAGCCAGCTCTGCAGAAACCTTTACATGATCCTTTGCCTAGTGATAATCTAATACCAACTAACAGGTTCAGAACCAAAAGATAAAGGGAGAGAAAGTAATCCAATGAAAGGTGGTTGTTTAAGTCTAATTTAACTGATCTTTTAAAATGTTTACACAAGTCATGAAATGGTTCTGTGCCTGAAGCAGTTGGGATAGAATAGTTTTTTAATTATTTTTAATGCTCCACCTTACTTGATCCTTTGTGGGCAGCAAGAACGTCTGGAATTTGTCTGACAAGTGAGAGAAGCCTCATTTCAAAGAAATAGGCTTAACTGTTTCCGCCTATGTAAAAAGAGAGGCTTTGGAAATGAGGTGAAATGTTAAGGCAGTGTTTCTTTATGAGCTGGGTAATAGCAGTTAAGACTTTTAGCTTGTCTTCCCCCCCCCCCCCCACTATTTCCTGGAAGGCACTTCAGACACCTTCTCAATCAATCTTCCCCAGCTGTGCGGCCCCCACATGTGTTGGATTACAACTCCCATCTCCCCCAGCTACCAGACAATTGGGTATGTTGGCTAGAAACCATGGAATATGTTTTCCTACACATCTAGGTTGAATTGGCGAAGGATAACTTAGGCTGGACGATGGACTGAGGAAGGATGACCTTCAGACTGATGAGTTTTTGTTTGAGGTGACAAGCGCCTTCTCTAGTCTTTCTGCAGTCATTTTTGTCTAAGAGGAGTGACAATGCTTCTTGAAGAAGTAGCCACATGAATATTGTTTGGAAGTTTCAGGTATATTTATATCACACTTTAATAAAATGGTGAGGGCAGCTTACAATAAATCCTAATAAAATATTACAAAAGATCAAATGATCTACATGAGGAACAGTGAAAGAAAACAGGAGAATGAAGGACAGAGACAACATGAAAGCCAGTGCAGAAGGAAATCAGTACTTAGAGTACTAAGTAACACAGAGAGTACTTAGAGGAACTTAAAAATGTGTTAATAAATTAGTAAATAAATAAATAAGTATGCATAAAATGGATGGCGGTGGATGAAAGAAAAGGGCTAAAGAAAAAGTGCTGATTTTAAAAGAAAATTATCTGGAATGGCGCGAGGGACAACAGATCACAGTGTCTTTGGCAGCTGCATGCGTTTGATTCAGTTAGGAAATGAATTTGGATTTATCTGAAATGACGGTGATAGGGAAGTGAAAGCCAAGGGTTTTTCCCTGGAGACTGTGGCAGTGGAAGAATGCAGTCAATAAATACCGGCCCCAAGTCATTCTCTCTTCAGTCCAGTCCTCTCCTTGAGAAATAGCACAGGAAGAAGGCAGGCAGGCAGTCTCCATCAAAAGAAAGATGATCAAGAAATCCATTCTCGCCATCCTGATTTTCCTGCTCTGCACAGCTCTCATCCAAGGTAAGGTTATTTCCCCTTCTCTTCTCTCTCTGCATGTGACTGTCGACCAAGGATAGGTTTCAGGGCCTCAGAGGAACACAACACTGCCTTCTACCGAGTTAGACCACTGGTCCATCCAGACCAGTTTTGTCAACTCGGGCTGGCAGCAGTTTCGGGCAGGGTCGCAGACATGGCAGGGACCAAAGCTGGGACCTTCAATGCTTGTGCTTTGCTACTGGACTGTGGCCTGTCTCTTGATTTGCTCTGGGTCCATTCTGGGTTGATCAGAGATGGGGGATGACCAGGTTCACACCCACCCACCCCATTTTCAAAGGAGGGTGCCAACAGATATTTTCTCCTGATGTTCCAGCAACTTCTTCTCTGTGTGTGTCTCTCTCTCCTTCTCTGCTCCTGACTTTTTGGAATGTCTGTTTCTGACAAGGGCAAATAGAAAAAATGAAATGTTAAATGAACAAATAAGGGTATAGAGAAGAGGAAACGGAAGCGACAGCTTCCAATGGAGCAGATAACATCCCTGAGAGAGCCAGCTCCTGACTTCTGAGGCACAATATTAATTGTTTAATATTTTCCTCATTAATATTTGTCAGTGCAAGTTACTTTGCTTGACGTAACTTGCCCATGTCCTTCCCAGCAAAATGGTTAACCTGGAAGTCCATGTCCTAAATGGGACCAGCTAATCTGACATAGGCTGCCATGTAAATCCCACTGAACTTACTGGGCTTGACTTCAGAATAGACTTTCATTCGATTACTGTATTAAAGGAATGAAGCTCAAATATCCTAAAATGGGCAGACCATAAGGTTATTAGCAGATCTTTCTTCTGACTGTAATGCATGCAAAATTTGGTACAAGCCAAGCACTTGGTGTAGAATTTGGAAGTCTTGAAAACTTCAGAACTCGTTTTTTCAAGTTTCTAGTCCTCCTCAAGGTTATAATGATATATCCATTTGAACTCAAGAGAAGTTAATAGAGTATAGCACACATGTAAAGATTTCCTTTCCTGAAGCAGGACAGTTAGGTAATTTTAGACAGTGGACCTAACTGTCTCTTTAGATGGCCAAGAAAATCAATTCAGTGGAGAAATATGCAAAGAAAATTTCTGCCCCACCTCACTGTAATACTGCTTCTATATTCCTGAGAACAGCAGCAAAACTATTGCTGTTGGGGAATTCTCCAGACACGTGAACTTTGGCAGTTTAAACTCGCTTAAATCGTAGCAGGATGTAAATGGAGTTCTTTGGGAGGGGCCGTGAGCTGTGCCAACTTGGGATTTGGCTCCAAGGTCCAGCCCACACTGAACCCTCTTTCGCCCCCCCTTCTCAGTGTCTTTTCCTTTCTGTCCGCATATATCATTAAAACCTTGGCATTCTTAACTTGATGGTAAGAATATAGGGACGTGCGTTGTCACTTTCACATCTTTTGCTAGTGGGAATAAGCCTCCATCCAGGTGTTCCAGGGGTCACACCTGCCTTATTTTGCTGGAAAGAGCTTCCCAAAGAAGCTTGCCTGGCACCTAAGTTGTGCTTTTACCAGCACCAGGTGAAGGTCTCCCTGCTGCCTCAGGCATTTTCAGCTTTCGGTTCCTGTTACCTGAACGCTGTTTCTGTACTTGAGATCTTTGCATTGCTTCACTTTGGTATTTACTTCTTTTATACTGAACTTCTAAAGCTTTTTATAGTCTTACCTTACCTTGTATTTTATGGTTTTAATGGCTGGGAATTGCCCAGAGGGCTCTGGCGATGAGGGCTGACAGACATGTAGTAGACGAAGAAAAATGATTTCTAGGCACATCTGACTGGAGGACCGTGTGCTTTTCCCTTGCAGGAATGCCCACCTCTGGAAGAGGCCGCTGCCTTTGCCACGGAAGGAGCGTGACCCTGGTGAGGATGAGCAACGTGGCCAAGGTGGAGTTCCACCCGCCAAGCAGCAGCTGCGACCAGGAGGAGCTGATGTAAGTTGTGGCTGTGCCACGGACTCCTGCCGCCCATCGCCAGCAATGCCACCAGGCCCTTCTTCCGGCTCTCTGCCCCTTCCAGGCTCCCCCTCTTGCCCTGCCCAGGTCTTCCGCACTGTACCTTTCCCTTTCCCTCTGCTGTGTCCACAGATACAAGCGGAAAGGTATCATCCAGTTGTCCTGAGCAGCAGCTTCTAGGCCCGTTCCTTTCCTTTGCCCCATCTACCACTGGAACAGTGGCCACGAGCATCTACAAAATGCATATTGGCTCTGGAGCTGAGGGAAGCTCTGTATCCCTGCTTCAGACCCACCTTCCCCGGCCTTGCACCCTCCTGATCTTTGGGGCCTCCATTCCTGGCCATTGTGGCTGAAGAGAGCTGAAGTCCCAAACAGCTGAAGGGCATTTGCTTCTCTCTCCCCGCTTCCTGGGGCAGAAATGAAAGCTGCTGTAGAAAACAACGCAGTGATCCAGGATACAACTAATCTGTTGTAAACAGTCCCAAGATTTTAGGTATGGGACAATATAGAAAAGTTTTAAATAAAATAAATAAAAACAATTTTACAGAGCAATCCTGAGCAGCCCATGCACTGCAGCAACAGTCAGCTGAAAAACCAGTGCAGCCTTTTTCATATGCAGTGTTGAACTAGGACTTGGGAAGGCACCAGATTGGGGAGGTCTGTGCTAAAATGACCCAATGCAACCTAAAAACACATTTTCTGACAGTTGCTATATCAAAAATGAGCAGAAAGCAAGCCTGTGGGATAAGCAAGTCTTGCTGTAAGCCAATGTCATTTTATCCTGGAGAAACATTGAATATGAGTGGCAACAGTCATACTGTATAGTTGATGGCTTCCAATTTGTTCTCTCCGCAGAGTTTACTTCAAAAGAAATGGGAAAAGGAGATGCCTTGACGTAAATATGGACCAAGGCAGGAGAATAAGAGAGGTAAAGCTGAGCCATAACCTTGAGAAAAGTCTGGGGACAATTTGGGCCAGGTGGATACGGCCACAATATCTGGGCTACCAAGAAACATAATGTAATCACAGAACGCACCACTAATGAACTATTTGCCTTTCCTTTCCTTGCAGGAAATTATGAGGAAAAGGAAATGAAGATCGCTAGAGAGAAGACAGTGAAAGTACCAGCGGGCATTTCATTTCAGTGGAAGATGGGTTGTGATGTCTGAGCAGTTGTCACAGAAGCCTTTCCATCATTCCTGAACTTCTGCGGGAAGACCTCCTGACAGTCTTCTGGAGCACTCAAGCTCTCCGGAAGATACTTTTGCAAATGCTAGCCTTGTTGTTTCGGGGCAAGCTTGTTTTTGTAAAGATGCAGTGATTTAAAAAATGAGCCAGACTTTTTCCTGTTTAATCTTTCCTTTCCAATTTGAGCACAAGAGTTAATTTCAATGGGAAATGATGAGAGCACAAGGATAATCATTTCAAGATGCAATACTTCGATGGCTTTAATATCTCTGTGCACAGGAATACCTTTGGTACTTCCACTTCGGCTACATTTAGGAGAATACTGTTATGGCATTCCACTTTCTCATTGTATCTTTTCAGCTACTTCTGTAGTTTGCTATGGCTGAGGGTGGGCAACAGGGTTTTAAAAATGCAAACTCCCCAACCTGGTGTCTGACTGGGGTCTTAAACAGCCCCAGACAGAATGAAAAAGCTGTATCAGTGGATCCTGTGAGGGCCAAACAGGCCATGCGTCTTTGTATGTGACGCACAGATTTTAAAATGCAGTCTGTATAAGCTGGTAGAGGGATCTGATCGTTTGCAGAATCAGATCAAGGACTTAATACCTTCCTGCTGCAATCTAAAGGATATCCCTTCTGCAAAGATGGTGTTTGCATTGTGGAGAGAGGCTATTCTCGAAATTAAAAATTGTATGCATATGTTAAGTAAGCTGCAAATGTCCTGTAATTCTGTTCAGAGAAAACAAAAGCTTGTGTGTCCACTAACTACCTGGCCATCCTATATATTTGTAAATAAACGTATTTTTTTCTTTTGTAATAAGTTTCCATTTTTTCTCTTTCCTTCACAAAACCACCCTATGAAGTAACAGTGGGGAAACATAGGGTCTATCAGATGTTTTACGGTATAAATCCAATCCCAAATGGATGGTTTCCTGCTCAGAGAAGATGGAAAGCATCGCTACCTTGAACGCCAACTTTTCTGGCAGCAAGCTGGGGTATCATCCAAATAAATAGTTCAGCTTTTCAAGTCCTGCAAGGTTCTCACCCGTGTTTTAATCTGCAGGAGCTGCAGTCAGCTCTGAACACAAAATTTGGGCACTCGAGTTTCCTACCAGCAGAAGAGTGGGATACAATTTGTGGGTTGGAATGGGGAAGTCCCCCTTTCCCCAGGGCCGTCTTAACGCATGAGCCTGATGGGCACTTGCCACTGGGCCCCCTACTAATCTGTGTATGTTAACCCTTGGAAAATGGGAAAACTTCCAAAATTAACAGTGGCTGTCGTAGGGGCCCCAGTACACTGCGTTGCCCAGGGCCCATAATGCTGTTAAGACGGCCCTGTCTTTCCCCACGCCTGCTATGGTTCAAAAAAATGTGTTTTTGCCTCAGACGCATCTAAATGTCTGCCCATCTCACCAGTTCACTGCGTTGAGGCCACAATCCCATGCATTATCTCCTGGGAATAAGTCCCTTTACTTCCAAGGAGATAGGGCTAGAACTTAATGGAACACGACTCTTGCAGAGAATGACAAGGGCCCAGATATTAAGCGTCTCTTTATGGCCTGAATTTCAGAGACCTTTCGCATGAGGCTATGGTTGGATTTTGACCCAGCAGGCCCACGCACAAGCCCTCCTTGGCTGGGAAGCCGAGTGGGTGGCCCCAGGCCTCTCTCGGCCATGTCTGCAAAGCACGGCACCTCAGAAAGCGCCCCTCTGGGTCAGACGATCTGGCCACCGCCCTGCTTCAGAAAGTGGCCAGGCATGGCAAGCCCACGGGGGCCCTTTCCTTCAGGTAGCCCTTCAGCAAGTGCCACATTCAGGGGCCACACTGCTCTGCAAATGATGCCACGCAGACGTTTGGGCTCATAACGGTTGTTAGGCCCATCTTCCACACATCTGCGTGATCCTATTTAAAAAGCCAAAGGAGGGGACGAAATGACAACTGGTGGAGCTGAGAAACAGGGCAGTGCTGGCTCCTGTCCTTCTAGCTAGTTCTGATGCCCCGCTTACATCTTGTGTTCTTGGGAGCAGGCGGAGCTGCAACTGGCCAACAAGTGAGGAAAGGGAGTAAAAGTGGGAAGACGCAGAGAAGCCTTGGGTCTTGCATCACCATGGGGTTTTTCAACATGTGCATCTGATGTCTTCTGTTTGCAACTTCCCTATAGATCCTGCTTGGAAGCTAAGCAGGGTCAGGACTGCTTGAAATCTGGTTGGGTGACTTAATTTTGTGAACTGCCCAGAGAGCTTCAGCTATGGGTGGTAAAGAAATGTAACCATGAATCATAGAATAGTACAGGTGGAAGGGGCCATGAAGGCCATTGAGTCTAACCCCCTGCTGTTGCAGAACACCAATTCACACAATCCCACTCAGATGATGGTCCAGTTTCTTTCTGAATGTCTCTAGTGTGGGAGAGCCCACCACCTCTCCAGGCAGCTGGTTCCACTGTCCTATTGTTCTGACAGTGAGGAAGCATTTCTTGATGTCCAGCCTGAATCTGGGTTGTCACAACTTGAATGGATTATTCTGTGTCCTACACTCTGGTATCAGCAAGAGGAGATCTTGACCTTCCTCTTTGTCACAGCCTCTAAGGTACTTATACAGGGATATCATGTCCCCTTCAGTCTCCTCTTCTCAAGGCTAAACATATCCAGTTCTCCCAGTCTGTCCTCATAGGGCAGTGTTTCCAGGCCCTGGATCATTTTTGTTGCCTTCCTCTAGACCCTTTCTAATTTTCCTGCATCTTTCTTAAATCTTGGTGCCCAGAACTGGGCACAGCATTCCAGATGAGGTCTGACTATTGAGGATGCAATGTGGTGGTGATGATGAGGATGAGGATGAGGATGTCCGAGTAGCAACTCTCAAGCAAGTTATGAATACCAAGTGCTCCAATCCCATTGCTTCAGATTAAACAATTACAACTGCTATTGTATGGAAATGACCTTAGATACTATGATGTATATTTTAATACTTTAAAAATAAGTTAGTCTTAAATATCTCTCAGAGAAGACCTTTGCAGGTCCTTGTTAACTTTGTCCCCCTCTCACTGAAATCTAAAATTGCACCCCTGTATGGAAGCTATAGGGGATGCAGGTGGCGCAGAGGGTTAAACCACTGTGCTGCTGGGCTGGTTGATCAAAAGGTCGCTGGTTCGAATCTGCACAGTGGGGTGAGTTCCCGTTGCTCCGTCCCAGCTCCTGCCAACCTTGCAGTTCGAAAGCATGCAAATGCAAGTGGATGAAAAGGTGCCACTTCGGTGGGAGGGTAAACAGCGTTCCGGCACTTCGGTGTCTAGTCATGCCGGTCACATGACCACAGAGACTGTCTGCGGACAAACACTGGCTCCCTCGGCTGGGAACAGAGATGAGCACCGCCCCCTAGAGTCAGGCATGACTGGACTTAATGTCAAGGGGAAACCTTTACCTTTACCTTTTTAAGAAAGGTGTCGTGCCTGAAGCCCCGACAGAGACAGCACCTCACGAGGAGGTCTTGCACTTGGGACCCTGTACCCAAAAGCCAACCCTGCAACCGAGCTTGGGGGTGGCTGAGCAGGTAGCCGCACCTCCCCCTGACTCCCTGCCCATTGAGCAAACACCCGAGCCCTCATCAAAGCAAGGGAGCCCCGAGGGAAAAGATGCCGCCAGTTCCACTCAGGAAGGGTCAGAGCAGGCTGCCCCTCCTCCCACTAATGCTGAACTTCCTGAACACGAAGCAGAAGACGCAGGGGGCATGGTTGACTTTTCTCTAGCGACCAATCATAGAATTCTAAGAAGCTACGAGCAAAAGCAGAGACAGTTATGTCAGAGGGAAGAAAGGCGGGACGAAGGGAGCTAGTCCCACCACTAGAGGGTTAACATCTGCATTTCAAGGACCTCAGCTAAAGAGCATATCTATTGAGTTGTAAATCTTGTAGACAAGTAGCAATAAAGGACTCTAGTTTTAGGGTTGTTTACATGTTGAGCGCCATCTCGACAAAAGATATGGCTCAGCCAGAAGAAGCAGTTGTGTGGAGTCACTTCACCTCTCTCTGCCAAAAAGAGCACGTTGCACCAACTGACGTGTGCCTGGGACGGCAGAGCTGGCGGGTCCCTCCAGCCACTGGAGGCTGCACCTGGCAGGAGCTCCTTGCTCCTTCACCAAGGGCAGGACAACCCAGGCAGGTCCCATGACTCAGCTTTATGCAGTGACTCCATGACTCCCAGCACACTTCAGAAGCCAAGGCACTTTTATCTTAGAAGTTGCGATTCATTAACTCAAGACCCATGCCTTAGGCTAAGATTTAATGAGTTAATTTTTAGAACAACATTAGGGGTTCACAATCACGGGAGATCAAGTTTCACAATATAAGGTTAAAGAACAAGCTGTGGTCCACAATTCCAGAGGATTTGCTCCCAGAGACCGAGGCAAATATGGAGAGACACCCAAAAGTAAGAGCATCATGCTCAAGACCCCAAGCTGATAGGGATCCAGTGTGCATGATGTGGAGAGTCAGAGCACAGTAGCGTTGGATGGGCACTATAAGGCCATCGGGGCCAACCACCTGCTCAGTGCAGGACCCCAAGTTTAAGCATCCTTAAGGGATGATGGTCCAGCTGCATCTTGGATGCCTCCAGTGTGAGAGACCCCATCAACACCCTGGACAACTGTTCTCATTGTCAGATTGCTCTTTCTGGAAGATTGTCCTGATGCTCAGCTGGAATCTTGTTTCCTGTCATTTGAGCCTTTATTCTGTTTCCTGCACTCTAGGATGGTTGAGAAGAGATCCCGTCCTTCCTCATTTCTTCCTCTCTTCCAATGCTAGAACCCAAAGGGGTCACCCTTTGATTGGTGGGAGAGTTAGGAAAGAAAAAGGAAGGACTCCTTCACATAGCACATGATGGAGCTATGGAATTCACTTCTGTAAGATGCAGTGATGGTGTGCATTTTGGAAGGCTTCATAAAAAGGGACTGGATAAATTCATGGAGCATAAGAACACCAAAGGCAATTCGTCCCGATGGCTCTATGCTGTCTCCAGGATCAGAGGAAGTATAACTCAGCCCAGCAGTTGCTGGGGAACATGGGTCAGAGGATGCTGCTGCATTCATGTTCTGCTTGGGGATCTCCCGTGGAGACTTGGGTTACGGTTCCTGTGTGAACAGGGAGCTCAACTAGATGCCCTTTTGGTCCAAGGCAACATGGGGCCATCAAAGTGGCAGCATTACAAGGGGTCATGCTCCAATTACATTTCCTCCTCTCCTGCAAGGGTATGGAAATGCAGTTTGGACTCAGACCACCTTGGGAGAGAACTGCTTAAGCTTCCCACCCATCTGCAGGAAGAGTGGGCTTAAAAATCAGAAAAATGTGTGACTCATTCCAGCAAATGAAACATAAACAATTAAAGCATAAATAGACTCGTTAAAAATGTTCAAAAGTTCAAAACATTAACATGGTGGGGAGAGGTGAAACAAGTAGGATATTTTGAACCATGCAACAAACAGTTAACCTGTTGGTTCCCGAGGACTGTCTGAATAAAACCTTCCTTGCTAGATGGAAAATTGATAGCAAAGGTCAAGATACGCTGACCTCCGGAAGACGTGCATTCCAAAGTCCCGGTCCTGAAGCCAAACCTATGTCAGGAAAATATTTACATTTCCTATCTTTGTAATGTAGAGGTGAAGCCTACGTTATTTAGAGTACACGTTCCATCTCAACGTATACGGGGTGGTACCATCTCACTGCAGTATTTACATATGCACTCGAACAAGTGCGGCAGCTTCTGCCAACCCAGTTAAGTTCTCAAGGGAAGTATGCCTAGCTTCCATTTGATTTCCCCACAATGCCTCTGATGTAGTCTCAGCCTGGGGGATTGTGGGAAATTAAAACAGTGGCTCTCATCCAGGCAAAGCTACGCACTGGGTACTGCTGTCAGAGCTCACCAACAGAGGAGAAGGCACACCAGAGTTCATTTTCCTGGCATCCCCTTATACCCCAAAATTACAGGGGCGATGCCCACCCTATTCATGGTGCGTCGGGTGTTTGTGCAATGGATTAATTTTTGCTTGCGCACAGGCTTTCTCCTTGTTCCTTTCTGATCAGAGATTGGCTGTCATCATGGCCTTTGGGTAAAGCCACTCTAAACAAAGATATTGTATTGTTCCTAATCCATTCTTTCAGCACTTTCAGCCAAGAAGTTCTTCTACTTCCTGTGTTGATTTCCCATTTATTTAACCTTATATAACCAGCTGCAACCGTCTATATCTTTCATTTCTCACTATATAACCAAATTAGCCTTAATTTCTGTTTTTATGTCTTTAATACTTTTCTGATCATTCAGCATATTCTTTAATACTTCATATTAGCCCAGGAAGTTCAAGACATCCCAAGAAAAATCAGCATTTCTGGGCCATTTCCCCAAAATCGAGTGATATCTAGTTAAAATACCGGGAAACCCCTGAAATATTACTTGCGGAAGAATTTGCAGCTGGAGTGCAATATTTGTTCTAGTGGGGAAGGCCCTAGAGATCAGACCTTGGCCAGATATGCTCTTCCTATATTTGTCAGTTTGTTTCTTTCATTTTCCGGGAAAAGTCTGATTTTTTCGGTGGAGTCAGATTCAGTTTTGCTTTCAAAGAACACAGTGAGTCACAAAACAGGCAGTGAAACTTTCAGCAAAGGAAGAGGAGACAGAGATGGAAAAGGAAACTACTAGGAACCTTTGTACAGGAAAGCACTGCATGCAGTAATAACGAATTATTGCAAATCTCCACCATTACTCCAGCCAATGAAGGCTCATCTCCAGCCAGAGTTCAGGTGTGGGGGCCCAGCTGCAGCAGCATGGCCAGCCGCTGCCAGTCCTGGCTCAGCCACTTGGCTCTGAAGCCAGAGAGACTCAACTAGACAAACCTGGCCAGTGGGTGGGCCCACTTCCAAAGCGTCCGCAACAACTCGGAGCCAGCGCTGCCCGGGCTGGCCTTGTTGCGAATGACTCAGCGCATCTCAGGATCCTGATTCAGCACCTTTGACTTAACGTATCTGACCTATTCTTTTGAATGGGTGAGTAGACGTACAAATGGAAAAAGGGATGGATCACCAAGCTGTGGTTGCCCTGCCTTCTGCACCTGAGTGTGCTTAAGAATAGTGGTGGATGTGGTCACATTTAAATACACAAGAGGACACGTTTCATAGGTGTCTGCTATAATGAACATGTTCGCATTTCATGTAAGAAAATTATAATACTTTAATACTTTTGTTTTGATTTATTAGAATTCACCATGGAAGTCATAAAAATTAGATCACAGGTGGCACTTTTGAAGTAACTTCCACTCCATACAGAAATTTTGCAATGTGCAAAGTGAAGGTTAAGGGTCACAACCTATGATGAGAGATGCCAAACTATGTTTCTTTAGGGCTGTCCCTCTCCTCTTCTTGGCATTGCCTAGTTCCACGCAATGACTCCCCGTCTCCACCCATCACTCCCTAGGCTTGGCATCATAGATAGCTCCTTAAGCGTCCAGCAACTCAGAGCAGATTCTGAGTTTATTACAGGGTTTCAAAAATAAGTAATATTCAGAAGTAGTTTAGCATTGCCTTCTTCTGCGCAGTACTAACCAGAGTTAGCCTGAGCATCTATACTCTTCCCTGTGAAAGATCTTCTGCCACCATTGCCTTCAGCTACTGATGCTACCCAACCCCATCACCATGACAGAGTTCCCTTTTCTTCTGCCGATGTAACCACTGCTCCCTAAGAGAGTGGATGCTTCTTAGTATGGTGTCTCAGTCTCGGACATGTGTCTTAGGTGACCCTGTCGGGAGAACCCTAGCGGTGAGTTCTGGCCTCCTGGCAGCTTTGCCCTCACTTCTCGGGCACTCTCAAGCCCCCTCAACCACATTAAGGTGGGCCTCCAAGAGGGGCATCCAACGTATGGGTGTGGAAGCTGGACAGGGAAGAAAGTGCAGGAAACTTGATGCATTCGAAACACGGTGCTGGAGGAGAGCTTTGCAAATGCACTGGACTGACAGAAAGATGAACTAGAGGATCCCAGATCAAAGCAACCAGAACTTTCCCTGGAAGCAAAAGGGGCAGATATGAGGCTGATGTACTTAAGGTGCTTCATGAAAAAGCAGGACTCGCTGAAGAAGACCATCTGGCTAGGGAACTGGAGGGCAGAAAAAGCGGAAGGCTAATTGCAAGATGCACTGGCTGCTGGAATTTCCAGGAGCTGAACAGAGCTGTCTAAGGACATTTTGGAAGGCTTTTGTTCATAGGGTCGCCATAAGTCAGAGGCAATTTGACAGCACGACACAGCAGCAGAAAAGCATCTATTTCCAGCACCTGATCCCTGTTTAAAACGTTGGGTTATATTGTTAAGTCGTTCTCCTAAAAAGAGAGGGCATTCAAGACAATCCTGCAGACAAACAATGCATTAGAATAAAGAGCAGGACTCTGCTCTCTCTTCCCATCCACCCTTTCAATAATCATTTCATATTTTAGTTTAATATGTGCAGGACAACATTTCTACCAACTTCTCTTCACTCCTGTATATACAGGCAGTGCCAGAGCATCAGCAGTAGAAAGTGAAAGCCATTTAGCTTTTCCAGGAAGTATAGAGAACACATATTCTTAACTCAGTTTTCTTATTCTAAGTGGCTGGGATTCTTTGAAATGTAGAGTGCTGACAAAGGAATTTTTGCCTGCAACATCCAATCAGATTTGAGGAAGGAAAGGGTTTTCTAGTATAAATACACGTCCAGCTCTCCAACATCCATCCATCCCTTGGTCCATCTGGCAGAAACACAGGAAGGATCTTTCAGCACAACCACCATGAACAGAACCTTCGCAGTGCTCCTTTGCATGATGTTCTTGCTTGCAACAGCCGTACAAGGTGAGCAGCGACTGCAGAAAATCAGGACAGGCTTTGCTACTACAGACGCACCTTGTCTGTTTGGGGCATATAATTACCTGGCAGCATTTTGTTCTGTCAGTCCTTCTTTGTACACATTTCAGCACTAGGCAAATACTTTTTTAAATTTCCAGAGTATTTTCACTGTTGATAGTTTGACTCAAAATTTTAATTCTAATTTTAGGTTGCACTTTAATCGATGAATTTCAAAATTTTAACTGTTCTTTAAATATATGATGTCCAATTTGACAATTGTATGAGGTCAACATGTTTGGTGTGCTTGCTTATGCAATGGATATTTTATTGTTGGAATTGATGTTTTATTTATTGAATTTGTTAATGTTGTTGGATTTTTGTGTTTTGTTTGATGGTTTTTAATTGCTGTAAACCATCCAGAGAGCCATGTGGCTATTGCGACAGTCTATAAAAGCTTGAAACAAATGACTAAATAAATAAATAGAATTGCCCATTAGATGGAAAGTGCAGTTGATTCCAAGTAGAACCTTGGTGATAAATGTCTAGCCAGGATAATCAAGTTTCTGGTTATTTGGGCTCCTAATACTATGGTTACATGCTTCTAAAATTATGATGCTGCTTTTTACACTCTCCTTTTCTTGAGAATTTCTAGGCCACCATTTACAAGAAAAATGTTGTTATCCAGGAATAAATGCTAGAGACTGATGAGTGTTTTATAAGCAGTCTATTATTTGGAATCAGACAGGTTGTGGATTATCCAGGGTGGAAGGGTCTTGCTATAGTGTGCATTTGGGTCAGCCACACTAAACCAAGCTACAATCATGGCTCTTTCAATCCATATTAGCTTCTTCTCCCCACCAACCCAAAATGGTTGTGTCAATTTCTCGTTACGTATCCTCTGCCAGGTGAAACTGAGTTCAGCCGTTTTCTGCTTTGCAGGCAGGTCTGATTCAAGCGCAAACTTAAGGAAAGTCCTTCCACTTAAAGCATGCTAATCCCCTAATTCAGAACTCCATCGTTCCCTGTTTGTACCCATTATTCTTCACCAATCATCCTGGAGACCCAATAACGTCTACAGAAAGAGCCAGGTGCGCACTAGGTACTCTCACCTAAGAAGTTAAAGATGTGTTTCAGTGCCTTAGAGTCTCCTGGAATATTAGGAACCTACCTGGTTCCCAAACTGGTGCCACTGGCTTTCATGGGGCTTCAGTCTGAACAACGGCCATGAATCCTCGCGGCTGCAGGCTAAGCACAAGGGTTGCCAGAAGGTACATGCTTTGGACGTCAACTCCCAGCAATAATTTCTCCCTCTTTCTTCCATGTTTTCTAGGGCAACTGACCAGCAGGAACGGTCGTTGTGTGTGCTTGAAAACAGTTCCCAGTGCAATGCCATTGCAAAGAATAGGGCATTTGGAAAGCCACCCCATAAGCTCCTCTTGTAACAGAGAAGAGATCATGTAAGTTGCTATGCCAGGTCATCTTGGGGAGCAATGCACCTCAAAAGGAGGCGCTTGTCCTCCCGGTTGCCTCAAAAGGTTTGGGACCTTTGCCTGGGATTTGAACACATGCAGCCAGAGAGAACAAGCCCTGGTTTTGTATTTGCACAAACATACTCAATACTTATGGGACAGTTTATTCATCAGAAAAAGAGGGCAGGCACAAGCTTTAGCCCCATGTGGTCCAGCCAGCAAATATTCCCTTACTCTAAAGAGAGAAAGAGTTTCCTACCTAACATAGAGACCAAAAAAAGGGAGGGGAGGGGGGTCCATTACCTGTCCTGCAGCAGTAGAGCTTGTGCGTCCAGAACTCCTTCAGCGGTGAGAGGAAGGAGAGAGAGCCCTTCCTAAGGCCCTGATGTCCATACCATTTCTCTCTGGACACGTGGCTTATGGGAAAGATGAGCTTCCCAAGCCTTTGCTAATTGTTGGAATGGGCCATGGTGGTGTCTTGCTGGCTTTAAGTATTGTTCCTTGTTCCTTGTCTGTGTCTGCTAGGTGCTATAGGTGAGGTGTCTCAGGAAAATGTGTCATTTCCTATTACTGCAGGCAGGCAATTTGAGTTTTCTGCCCCAGACATCAAAAAGTCTTTGGCTAGTCCTGGCAAAGCGAGAAGTAGTGATCACATGTTTCCCCTCCCCTCTCCTTCTCCAGTGTTACACTCAAGAAGACTCAAAAGAAGGTCTGCCTGGACCCAAACTCAAAGGAAGTAAAGAAGATGGTAAAAAAATATGGAGAGTAAGTGTCTTCTGTGTGTGTCCCCCATGTGCAGAATCACATTCTGTTTTTGCTGACGTTAACCAGGAATGCAGAAATGCCATTTCTGGTCCTGGCAGTAGACAAAGTGAGGGGGCTGCTTCAGGCGGCAGAAGCTTTGAGGCGGCATCAAGGTGTTGAAGGACAGAACCGTGTGCCACTTATCCCGCCCTGCACCCCCTAAGCCAGCCTGCTGCGTTCGGGTGGAAGATGATGATGATGATGCTTATTACTTAAATAGTGTTAATATTAATATTATTAATTGAATATTATTGTCGAGTTAAGATGACATGATATGGTCAGTGAGGAAGAAATATTAAATGGCTAGTCCAGATGGCTTTTTTACACGGAAGGAGAAGGGATTCCTCATGTTGTTTGCCTCAAACACCAAAATATTTTGGCTGGCACCACAAAGCAACTAAGATGGAATGCAATGTAAATCAACCTTCATGTTGCTTTGCACATGCTCAGAGGCATGCAAACTGAAGTGCAAGAATTGGTAAAAGTAAACCTGGTGAGCATTAGGCATTATTATTATTATTACTATATTAAATTTCTATACTGCCACTTAGCCATAAAAGGCTCTCAGGGTGGTTTACAACAACTAAAATACAAGATACTTTAGTACAAGATACAAGATACATTAAAATATAGTATAAAACAAAGTACAAAAATTCAAACCAGAACAAAATAAAATCAGCTACATGAGACAACAAGCACAAAAATGTACAAAACCTATCAAGTTTCTAAAACAATAGCAGCAACAGGTAAAGGTAAAGGTAAAGGCTTCCCCTTGACGTTATGTCCAGTCATGCCTGACTCTAGGGGGCGGTGCTCATCTCCGTTTCCTAGCCAAGGGAGCCAGTGTTTGTCCGCAGACAGTCTCCGTGGTCATGTGGCCGGCATGACTAAACACCGAGGTGCACGGAACGCTGTTACCTGCCCACCAAAGTGGTACCTTTTCATCCACTTGCATTTGCATGCTTTCGAACTGCCAGGTTGGCAGGAGCTGGGATGGAGCAACAGGAACTCATCCCATTGTACAGATTCAAACCGGCGACCTTTCAATCAACCAGCCCAGCAGCACAGCAGTTTAAACCACTGCGCCACCTGCAGTTCCATAGCAGCAATACAGAAGAATAACAATGAACCAATGCATTATCATCAGGTAGCCTGGAACTACAAACCACCTGCCCAACTGGCCAACAGCCAGAATCTCCGGCCCAAGCAGGCACCAAAGGGCAGTGCCCTTCACCTGCCACCCCAGGTGGAAGGTACCTGGGAAAATAGGCCAGTGGCAGAGGAGAGGCCACCTGCAAGCAGCCACCGCTGCTTTTTCGAGGCATGCTTTGCATACCACTAAAAGCCGGGTGAGCGAACGCCAACCCCATGTGCGGGTGCAGGAGTGTGTTAAGCCCGGCAATCCCAGCCCATGCAGAGAGGTTGAGAAAAGCATGCGGAAACATTTTTCTGCCGCGGCAAGGTTTGGGTGGGGCCGGCGGTCTTGCTGGAAATGTGCTCTTCACCAATTCTGTTTTGCTCTCATCCATACAGGAAGCTAGAAGAGAGAAAAAGAAGAGTACCTGGAAAACTGTCCCCTTGATACAGCAATCAAGGAAAGGTGGACTCCAGGGAGCCCGTACAGGCCAGATGAAGGGCTCCTGGCACCACCAGTCAGAAAGCATCAGGATGGAAGAAGGAGTGGGGAAGCCTAGCGGGGTTGCCAGTAGAGGAAGGGCAATTGCAGAATGAAATCCTCATCTGGAAGCACCTGCCCTGCTCGATTCCATTGCCAACAAACCCCCAAACATATCCAGAACTTTTAAGTGCTTTGACGTCTTTAAAGCACTATTAGTGGGATCCAATGGACCACCCAACTAATTGTCCAAGTGGGCTTTGGGCCTGTATTTATTGAACAACATCCTGATGATTTCAAAGTTGTCAGGTGTAGCGTCTAACGTGAGGGTTTCTAAAGTGTGCCCTAGACTTCTGCAGTAGGTTTGGCTCTCCTGACCCTCTTTTGGTGTGTGGCTTCAAGGTGCTTCCTTATGAGTCAATCGTAAAGCTTCTGCTCCATTAAGAACTGTTTCAGAATTGCTATGTATATTTTGGAATAAAGGGATTTCAGACAGACTTAGTTGAACATATTGTTACAAATTGACTTGCCTAAGGAAGAACTGTATCTTGTGTCTACAAAAAGAAGAGACCAATGCAGCGTATAAAGCTAAAGGTACAATGTATTTAAGTGTATATAAGCTCATACTTGAAAAAAAAATGAAATGTGCATAATTTAAGAAATGTGTTCTTCCAAACTGTCACAATATATCCTTGGAAAAACATAACCTGTGCTTGTTGCAGTCTTTTTGAGAGTAAGCTGCTTAACAAAAGGCAGCGATGCATATCTGTGCTTGTTTGACATCATTCTTTGATCCTTGGAAATATTTGCCTACTTTCTGCCCTGCAGTCCCCAGTGCTTCACGCAGGAAGGGCCAATGGGTTTCCCGACTCGGTTCTGCCCCACAGCTGGTTGTCTGGACTGGGGCCAAAACCAGTTGTCCAAATTGGACTGCTGCATTTTGGGGTTCCCTGCCCAGGATCGTTGTCAACTGACTGGCGCCAGTTTTGCAAGGAGGGGCTCAGAAAGGCTCTTTCAGTGGGGTGCCCCCTTCAGAATGGCTCTACCTGCTCTTCATTGCTAATCTCCATTCACTTGCCCCCCACCCCATGCCCAACAAATAGCATTACCCCACACTGAATGGGGTGATGGTGCATATTTATTTATTTATTTATTTATTAAAACATTTTTTATGCTGCCCCATTCGCCGAAGCCTCTGGGCGGCTTACAACACTAAATTAAAAATAATTATAATATTAAATTACAAAAAATATAAACATTAAATTAAAAATACAAAAATACAATATAAAATAAGCCGCCCTGGCCAGATAAAATCCAGTAATATTAACAGTTAAAATGCCACTTAAATAAAAAGGTTTTCGCCTGGTGCCGAAAAGCAAATAACGATGGCGCCAGGCGGACCTCTCTGGGGAGCGCATTCCATAACTTAGGCGCCACCGCAGAGAAAGCCCTCCTCCAAGTACCCACCCTCCTAATTTCTTTCACGGAGGGTTCCCGGAGAAGGGACTCTCCCGCAGATCTCAAGGGGCGGCCGGGCATATATGGATGTAAGCGCTCCTTCAGGTAACCAGGACCCAAGCCGTTTAGGGCTTTATAGGTCATCACCAACACCTTGAATTTATCCTTTATCCCGTTGCTGCTCTCACACAGCTGGGCAGCCAAACGCCACTCCAATTACACACCTGAAGAAAATGAAACCCGCAGCCAAACGAGAGCATGGATGCCAGTCCTGTCCCCAGCCTTTCATGCATCCAGAGCACATGGATTAGCAGACAGTTTATAAAAGCAACAAATAAATAAATGGAGAAATTGCATTTGCTGAATGCTTCAAGGGCGAAAGACAAAGAGAACTCCAATTCAAGCTGCAGCAACTCCATCAGAGGCTGGGATTAGATTTAGATTTAGATTTATTTCACAAAAGGGGAAGCCCTGTCTCTTCAGTGCTACAGAGGTATAAACATGACAAAATTCCCCTGTGGTATCCAACTGTGGCTTCTGGGTATGAATCATGAGGTAGAACATGATCCATCTACTTGGTTGAGCAAAACTGTGACTCCCCAGTAGTGTTTAAATAAAAAGGCAGCATTAAGATTAGAAGTTGGAGCCCCTTCTATAGACAATTTAGCAGGTCAGATGCATTTAACTTGGGGGTGTGTTTACACATGTGGTTATTGCCCTTATCAGAGTCTCCCTACCAATGGCAGGAATGAACTCTTAGATTTAAATAAACTTGAACTCGAGCATTTTTATTGGTGAGTTCACCCAGGCCCCCTGCAGCTTACTTACGAGAGCTTGCTACTGGGGAGTGGTCTTTACCACCAACTATAAAATCACAGCCCATATACAGACATTTTTATAACTGTCCACTCATGTACAGAGTATTCAGTTTCAGGATAATGTTCACATAATAGCATCTGGATGTCCCCATACACAAAACAATACTCTAAAGCAGTGGTGGCGAACCTATGGCATGCGTTCCATAAGGGGCACGCAGAGCCCTCTCTGTCGGAACGTGAGCCAAATCGCCCCAGCAGCGGAGCAGCGTATAAAAGTGCACATAGGGGCCATGCGCACGCTCGGAAAGGGGTAGTGGCGCCAGGCGATGATGTCACAAGCAGCGACTCATTAGCCGTGACTTGTGCCAGCTTTCGCAGGGCCGGTCAGTGCACTGCCAAGGATATATATTTTCTGCTTGTAAAGGCTGTGACTTGTTTTTTCTAAACTAAAACCTAACTTTTTAAGTTTTATTACACTGTTGGCACTTTGTGATAAATAAATGGGTTTTAGGTTAAAGTTTGGGCACTCAGTCTCTAAAAGGTTCACCATCATTGGGTCAGGGTTAGAAAAACGAGGTGTACTGGTATAATTTCGATGGTTGGAATGTGTTTAGAATGGGCAGAAATGAGCTGTGCAGAAAAAGTTACTCCAGGAAGGCTTTTTCAAAATTGCTCTCTTTTCAATGGAACTTTAGCCCTGTATTAGGGTTTGGGATTGGCACCAGGGCAGGGTTAGGGTTAGAAAAAGGAGGTCTCCTGGCATGATTTCGATGGTTGGATTGTGTTTAGAAAGGGCAGAAATGGTGAGCTGTGCAGAAAAAGTACTCAAGGAAGGCCTTTTCAAAATCGCCCTCTTTTCAATGGAACGTTAGCCCTGTATTAGGTTGATTTTTTTTTCTTTTTAGGTTGAAATATTTTATTTAAATAAAAACATACTACAAAAGTTACAAAAGGCACAAAAAGTGCAACGTTAGAAAAATACGCCATCCAATATTTACAAGGTATCAAAATGCCAAATGTACACACATTTACAGGATTACCAAACTTTACAAATCAAATTTAAAAAAAGAACATTCTACAGACTTCTCCTTGATAGGTTCATGCTATGCGTCTCACCAACATTTTTAGGGTTAGGGATGGGCACCAGGGTAGGGTTAGGGTTAGAAAAAGGAGGTGTCCTGGCATGATTTCGATGATTGGCATGTGTTTAGAATGGGCAGGAATGATGAGCTGTGCAGAAAAAGCTACTCAAGGAAGGCCTTTTCAAAATCACTCTCTTTTCAATGGACCTTTAGCCCTGTATTAGGCTTTGGGATGGGGTTAGGGTTAGGTTTATGGTTAGTCTACAGCGGCTTTTCAGTCCAGCTAAGAATTCCATCTTCTTATAGTAACAGAAATGCTTTCCAGTAACTTGCCTTTGAATTCTGTTGCTTTTTGATAAAAGCTCTCAGGTTTGGTTTTATAACACAAAGGCACGTATAAGCAACCTTTTTCTACCAGGATTTATCTCTATTTCCACAAAAGAGGCATACTGGGAGTTGTAGGCCAGTAAGAGTTGTCTTCCTATGCTAAAACAGATTTTGGTTCAGTTCGGTAAGTATTGCACAGATAGATCCACTGTGGTGTAGTGGTTAGGAGTGCAGAGCTGGAACTCAGGTGATCTGAGTTCTAGTCCCCACTCAGCCATGGATCCAACGGTGACTTTCAGCCAGACACAGACTCTCTGCCCAGCCTACCTCGCAGGGTTGTTGTGGAAAGCTGCTCTGCATTCTCTAAAAGAAAAAAAAGGCAGAATAGAGCTAATAATAAATAAATAATGGCTGGTTTTATTGCTAGCAATTATTTTATTTCATTATCGTCCTTGCCCGCATCTAACAGAAGACCATGGGTACACGGAACTTATGCTGCAATGGCCGCGCTCCGCTTCTAGAGCCGCCCGGAGCAAAGCCATCGCGCTGCAAGCCCCATGTCCCTCCGTCGTTGCCGTACCAACGTGACCCAAGATGGCGGCGCCCGGGGGCGGCCCACGCGGTTCTTCCGGCTAGCCGCGAGAGGGCCGCACTCGGCGCTTCGAAGCCATGGCCGGTCGCAACAACAACAAGCTGCCCATCAACCTGCCGCAGCTGCAGAACTTGATCAAGCGGGACCCGGCGTCGTATATCGAGGAGGTTTGCCCTAGTTTGCTGTCACTGACGCGAGGCTACGATAAGATGGGAGTAGTGGAGAGGAAACGCTGGGGTTCAGCTGCACAGGGCGTGCCGGGGATTCAGCATCCCCGAAGCTTTGACGGCGTGTTAATGCTCAGTCTTGGTACCTGGAGGACAGCAGCTAAAGACGTGCTTCTGAACATAGGCAGAACAGCCAGAGGCATCCAATCAGCTCTTAAGTGGGATGTTGAATTCACAACTAAACCTAGACTGCCTTGAAATTTCTCTCTTTGACATGCATCGTTTTTAGATGTGTAGAGCTAATTATTCATTATATCGTTATCCTGCCTTTTTTTCTTGCAAGCACCTCAAAACGATTTACATAAGTCTTCACTCTCTCATTTTTTCCTCACAACAACCTTGTGAGGTAGGTTAGACTGAGAGTCTGTGACTGACCCACACTCACTGAGTTAGTGTCATGGCTGAGTGGGGGCTTTAACCTGGAAATCCTGAGGCCCAGCCCCACACTGCCACCATTATGGCCCGCAGGCTTTGTGGTGTTAACATGAAAGTAGATAAAAACTTAAGAGAGAGCAACATGTGTGGAGAGGAAGAACTGCTAACAGAATACCTTGTTTCCTGTCCTCATAATTCCCTTTAAGTATACTCACAGAAAAATGTACACTATAAACAGTTGCTTGTTTGCACAGGTTAGCATAATATAGTATAATAAAAATCTTTGATTAATTAACAGTTTTACATTCATATTCTCATTAGACTCTGTTTAATTCTTTGCTTTCCTTCTTGTAGTACTTCCAGATGCCCTAGCTGGGACTCAGAGATTAATGTTCAAAATATTTATGGTGAATAAACCATGCTAGAAGTAATTCGTTTCTCTGTGCATATTACTGTTTCTTCCAGTTCCTTCAGCAGTATCGCCACTACCAGTCCAATGTGGAGATATTCAGGCTGCAGCCATCTAAGTCCAATAAAGAATTGGCTGAACTGGTGATGTTCTTGGCACAGGTAAAGAAGCACAATCTATTTATGCAGGTAGTTCTGCTTGGATTAGGCTAGACTGTTTTTATGTCTCTTGCAGAAAGTGAAAATGGAATGGTTAGACACTTGCCAATATCTAGAATGGTTTCTTTTATTTACAAATGCACCAAGAAAGTGTAGAAAATCTCTTACTTCTATAGAAACACTCACACTTCAATGTTGTACTCCCTGTGTATCTTTGTGATCTAAGGCATTAAGGTTTAATTCTTACTTCCTCTGGAATAATAGTTCCATAGTTCTTCATATGCCCACCAAACTTCAGTTCTCCAGGGTTCTCCAGAGAGAATGATGTAGATACGTGAAGATTTGGATTAGATGGAAGGAGTAGGAAAGTTCAGCAAGAAAACAACCCCATCCCCATTTTCCAACAATCCCAGAGGAAGAAGGGGAAAAAGTTATTATCCTTTATGGAGGATGAGGCTGCATGGCTACTAGTCCTAATGGCTATCCACTGCCTCCAGTATTAGAGGCAGTCTGTTTATGGACACCAGTTGCTGGGGAACAGGCTGTTGCACTCATGCCTGCTTGTGGGTTTCCATGGGCCACTTTATCAACAGAATGCAGGGCAAGGTAGACCTTTCTTATAATTGTAGAAAAGCGGTCTGCTGAATTCTTTATCTTAGGATGTGAAGGATGCATGTGTTTCTTCCCACAATCCCTTTAGCTTATCTTTGAACATTTCAGCGAAGATGATAATAAGATGGGAATCAAGTGGTGACCTTGTCGTGAAAGCCATCAGTTCTTACCTTGTCATATAACTCATGATGCATTCCAAGATGCAGTGAAACACATATGGACACCGCCCCCCCCGCAACTGTTTATAAGTAAATGGAAGGTGCTTAATGCACAGGCTGCGGCTCTGAGTGTTGTACACAGGGTGGGTTCAACTGAGATGCTTGCTGATTATCCTCAGGCTGAGGGACAGTAAGTGGCGGAATTTCTTTGGGAGGTGAGGGTGAATTAGGATGGAGACTGATCAGGCATAGCTTTTTATTGGCATGTACCCCCTATGGCAGGGATATTTATGTATTTATTAGATTTATATCCCGCTTTTTTCACCATCTTATCCCCACAACAACAACCCTGTGAGGTAGGTTGGGCTGAGAGTCTGTGACTGGCCCAAAGTCACCCAGCTGGCTCCATGGTTGAGCAGCAACTAGAACCTAGATTGCCTGAGTTCCAGTCCCATGCTCTTCACCACAACACCACACTGGTTGGGCATATCGCATAATCCTGACTATTGATTAGGCTGATGGGAATTGAAGTTCAGCAACATCGGGACGACCATGGGTTCTCCACTCCTGTGCTCCAGAGGTGCATTTTGTTGAGCTGTCCTTCTTTGCAACAGGTTGGCCACTGCTACCCGAAGCATCTCACGGACTTCCCTCAGCAGCTGAAGGAGCTGCTCTCGTACAACCACACAGTCTTAGACCCAGATCTTCGGATGGTGAGTCAGATGATAAAATACGAATCTTTGTCCTCCGGTGCAAGGAGTTCTATCAAAGGTGGCACTGACAGTTTGTGAAGAAGCCCTTTCTTTTCTGATCCCAAGTGGCTGGCCTGCATATTTGGAATAGGGTGGGTTGGTGTCTTACAATATGGCCTCTCTTTGGAGAGCCAACCCCAGTTTTTCACAGTAGCATTGATGTGAACATAAATCACCTCAAGTGTCCCTACAGGGATTTTATAGGAGGTGGGCACCCACATTTATCTTCAGAGGTATGTTACCTACTTTTTTTTTATAGGAGGATCTCAGAAATGGAAGAAGCCACCTTATACTAAATCAGGCCGTCAGACTGCCTAGCTCAGCATTACCTGTATCAGCCTTTGCCAGCCTGCTGCCCTTTGGATGTGTTGAGCTGCTTCTTCCATAACAACTGGGAATTGTGCAGTTCAACATCTGGAAGGCACCAGACCGATTTACATCAGTGGGTGGTGGGTCTCCAGGGTTTTACATTCTTGCCCAAAGATGCCAAGATGCTCCAGATGCCTGGAACCTCTGCATAAGAGGATATCACATATAATAATTCTTAGGGGTGGGACAGAAAGAAATCCCTTATTTCCTTATTGTCCTGCATTTCTCAAACTATTTTAAAGAAACAAAAGCTGTAAAACTTAAAGCATTGGATTATTGCTCAAAATTCCACATTTATACAGTCCCGTATTGATCGATGGTGTGACCAGTTCTTGTTCCATGATTGCAGGTTGCAGTAATGCTCTTCCTTCCTTTGCAGACTTTTTGCAAAGCTCTCATCTTGATGCGAAACAAGAACCTAATTGAACCCACAAGCTTGTTAGAACTTTTCTTTGAACTCCTCCGTTGCCATGATAAATATTTACGCAAAGTAAGTAGCAAAACTTTAATCCTTCTCTGGTTTATTTAGTTGGTTGTGATACAGATATTTTAAATATGCTTACCACTTCCAAAAATGACTTGGGGCCCATACTTTAAAGGATTTTATCTACTGATGTGTGCTGTAATCCCTGGGATACCTGCCTGGGTATATCCAGCCTATAAGAAGACTACCAAACTGAGCCACATTTGCACAGCTTGGAATACCCTTAATTTGATGCCACAAAACCCTTCTGCAAATTTACACAGCTGTCAGAACTGGGCACATGCGCCTGCCCATCTGACTGAAGCCATGGCTGGTAGCACCCTTAGGCTTGAGGCAAGGGGTACCTCCAGAACTCCCTGAGGAAGGGGTCAGTCTAATCCATTCCTGGATTATTAGGTTATCCTGCAACCTACTAATCGCCTCTGACTTCAAACCATATGGAACGCAAAAGTGTGTTCTGGTTAGAGGCGTCTATCACTACCCTAACCCTAAAGATATTACAGCAGCCTTCAATCACCTGAGAATGTTCAGATTAATTGAAATTAATGACTGCATCTTGAAAACAAAACAACAAAGAGGTGCATACCCTTAGGGACTCTTTAGTATGCATGCTAAATGTCAGATGTCTGGACTTCTTCGTGCCTTGGTATAGACCGAGAGACACATGTCTTATGACTGAAGTCCACAGCCCTCTTTCCCCTTTATCTCCTGGGCTCCGTGTGGGCTTGATGAGAACTCTGACACAAAGGGAAGGCAGGGGTAGCCAAAATGCAGCTGCTGCTGTCCAGAAGAGTCACTCCGGAAGTGAAATGGCCGGAGGGGTGGGGTGGGGGGGACGGGCAGTCCCATCGTTCGCATTAGCACTTACCTGTGTGCTTTCCTGCCTGAACATCTTACTTCCTTTGCAGGCCGTGGGGGAGATTTAGATGAGGTGATGGCATCCCCAGGGGTGCACTGATGCTGCCCAGAGGGCTTTTAGAATGGGGCCAAGAGCTGCACGGCGTTAGGCTGAGGGTTGCACGTGGCCCTCAGGCCAAACGTTGCCCACCCCTGCTCTGTCGTCGTCTTATCCCAGTCTCCTCACAGCACGTAAGCTCTTTGGGCAGGAAGCACTTTTTCCCGTGTTGATTGCCAGTATGTGCATCGCAGCAGGAGATTAGAGGCCAGTGTTGGACTAAGACCAGCAAAGAAGAAGGTAGAAACCACTGCCAGCCACGGAGGTCACTGGGTGACCTGGGAGAGCCGCATTGCTTAGCCTAAAATCTGCCCAGTCACCCATTTTTGCTTTAGTTCATTTTACTCAACATTTTAGTTCATTTTACTCTGAACCGTTCCAGCATTTTGTTCACAGTGTTGCTCTTGTTTCGACAGACGTTGTATACCCACATAGTGACTGATATCAAGAACATCAATGCGAAGCACAAGAATAACAAGATGAACACAGTAGGTTGTTTTGTCCCTTTGGGTGTTGGCTGATGCTGAATTTAAATACAACTTCACGAACTCTTCCCCCTGTTTTTCAGACACTGCAGAACTTTATGTATACAATGCTACAAGACAGCAACCCAACTGCAGCCAAGATGTCGTTGGATGTGATGATTGAACTGTACAGAAGAAACATCTGGTAGGCTATGGAGGGAAATCCACCTGGGGCACAGGCATAGTGAGGAACTGCGAGAGAAAACAATGCAAGACATGTTCAAGTTTCCATAATTAGCAATTGCAGGATGTAAATTTTAAATTTTCATTTTTGTGTTTTTACAGGAATGATGCTAAAACGGTGAATGTCATCACCACCACTTGCTTTTCTAAAGTCACGAAGGTGAGCAACTCTCTTTAAAAGCATTTTGGGCAAATTCAATAGGTTAACCAGGAGAATCCCTTGCAGCAAAAACAGCAAAAGGACTTTGTGTGGCACTTTTTATAGATAAATTGCTTGTGCCCTGAGCTCACATGGCATGGAGCAGAGGCACAGAACTCTTTAGAGATGGGGCGATGGCTTGCAAGCCACTGCATGATGGATGGTTTGTTGTCGAGTTATGAAATGTGTTTTTTTGTGGTTAGCAAACCATGGTTCAGGCAACACAGTAACCCATGTTTCACAACCCATACGCAACCCTTAAGGGTGAGTCACTGGGTTGTCTGAACCCACCCAGCCTGTCCCAGTTACACACTTACTCACTGACATGGTACACTGGTGTTTGGGGAATGTTAACCCCCTCCTGTGTTGCTCTCCCCATGTAAGGTATGCTTCTCCCAGTCTGCCAAAGGGTTTAGTGGGTTGTGAAGAGTACGATTTTTATGGGGAGGATCTTTTTTTAACTAACCTGCTAAGAAGGAATAGTCCACATGTTCATGCTAACATCAAAGGGAGGACTGATAGGAAAACAACCCAGTGGCCCCTTAGCAAGGTAGTGGAAATAGCGCCCATATTTAACTTTTATGGGTTTATTTGGAAGGGTGTTTTAGTTTAAGCACTTTGTGCAATTTCAGTTTTTGTTTACTCACTTGGCTACATGAATGAAACTTTTGGAAATGAATGCTGTCCATCCATGATTTGTCGTGATTAAAGATGAGGTATAAGCACTAGTAAACACATATACTACTCCAGGAGAGCACAAAGATTTCCTCCTCCTACAGAAGCTTAGAGATGGAAAGTCCTGGGGGAAAACTCAGAAGAAATGGGGAAGCGGAAAGGAAAAAAAATGGAAGAACTATTTTACATGGGAGCTTTTTGCGGGGCAGAGAATGCTTATTTTTCCATCTCTTCCCACTTTTTTCCAAGCTTGTCCTAACATTTCTTGTCATCAAGGTCCTGTTGTGTGACCCACCTCCAGGAGAAGTTGGGTTGCTGGGTACCGCAACAGGGCCTTTTCTGCAGTAGCACCCCAAGATTGTATCCCAGGGAATACTGAAAATTCCTCCATAGTATTAGTTTAGATGTCTAGTGAGGACAATATTCTGCCTCAGTTCTAATAGTTAACACTGTTCTGGTTGTCATCATCAATTCACAGTTTGATAATAAGTCTTAGTTTTTCATTTTTGTGTATTTGAAGTTTGGTATTTTAATTCACCTTGAGCTCTCGCTGAGTGGAGGGGTAATCCAAATATATTGAATATATACACTATATTTGCATTCCTTAAGGTGCCATGCAATGCATGTTAGAAGAAAGTGCTATAAATCCCTGTATGCCTCAGCCAGCCATGTTGCAGGAGTTCTTTCTTTGTGTAAATATTAGGGTGATCACCAAGTTGGCCGTGAGATAACCGTCTTCCATTTCATCCATGTGTGTCCTTTTTCTCCCCTTATGTGCATTTCATGGCTACTCAGATACTCGTTGCTGGCTTGAAATTTTTCCTTGGGAGAGATGAAGATGAAAAAAAAGACAGTGATTCCGATTCAGAGGTTAGTGTACACCATATCTAGAATAGTAACTCAATAACAGGACTTAGGCCTTGTTGTAATTGAGGTGATACGCTTGTGTTTTCCTGGTCTGTGGCACTTCTGGTTGCAGGTGGGAACTCTCTGGACTGAGTGTTTCTGCATTCAAAAGAAAACAAACAAAAAATGCATCCACACAGGAATCGGGTGCTAAGCTAGCCTTTTCTCTGATGTGCCAGAGAGAGAGCTAGGGTTCTTTTTTTTTGTATGTTCCATCCAGGTTGCTGCACTTTGTTTAATCCTATTGAGTTGGAAAATGCGATGCCGCATTTGATAGGGCTTCCGGTTGTGCAGCAAGATTTGTGTCAAGAAAAGGGTGTGCACAACGGTTGTCCAGAGCACATCCTGACAAAGAAGAGTTGTCTGAATGCATGAGTCTCCTCTTCTTGCTCTTCACTCAATAACTTCCCTTTTTTCAGGATGAGGGCCCCACAGCAAGGGACCTGATGGTGCGATACTCTACAGGAAGAAAGACCACAAAGAACAAGAAGAAACTAGAGAAAGCTATGCGTGTCTTAAAGGTGAGCAGTGAGACTGGTGGGGTGTCATAGGTAAGCAACTCATCATCACACACGTTCAGCCTAACGTCATGTGGTTAAACCAGCTTTGCCTGACCTGGTGACCTCCAGATGTTCTGGACGTCAGCTCCCTTTAGTCTCAGCCAGTGTGTTGGAAGAGCGCAGGACTGGGACTCTATCTGGGTTCGAGTCCCCGCTCGGCCATGGAGCCAGCTGGGTGACTTTGGGCCAGTCACAGACTCTCAGCCCAACCTACCTCACAGGGTTGTTGTTGTGAGTCAGAGCAGCAGGAGGATAATGATGCGGGCTGCTTTGAGTTCAGTGTAAGAAAAAGTGGGATATAAATCATATAAATAATCCCAATTCACTAAAATCATTGTTATTGTTATTTTTGTATTGTATTGTATTTTATTGTGTTGTTAGCCGCCCCAAGGCTTCAACAAGGAGCGGCATAGAAATGTTCTAATAATAATAATAATAATAATAAAATAAATAATTATTTATTATAATAATAAATAATTATTATTATTATAGTACAATAATTAGTATCCTGGTCTTCTGAAAGTACCCTGCACAGTGTATGTTACATGCTTTCCCCACATAAAAATACTCCTCTCTCTGTGTACAAAATTTGGCTTTCTAACCTGGTGCTCTCCAGATGTTTTGGAGTACAACCAGCATCCTACTCAGCCATTGTCTATGCTGGCTTGGACTGGTGGGAATTGTAGTCTGAAGCATCTGGAAGGTTCCAGGTTGGGGATCGTCAGCTTTAACTGATACACCGTGGCCTGGGTAGCTTTGCAGGGTGTTGGGGCAGAAGAGCCATTTCCATCACTGACAGCTCCATTTCAAGGATCTTAGCAAACAGTGCTGAAAGGGACTTCCTGGTCCCAGAGATGTCGGAGAGCTGCTACCAGCCAAATGGACCAGTCCAAGGGTCCCCAACCTTCTTGCACCTCTGGTAATTCCAGAAACTGTCATGGGCGCTATCACAAAATGCTCCATCAGTGGATCCTCACTTTAGCATCTGCAGGCCGCATCTCTGGCTCTTCAGCGGCACCTTATTAATCACAGCTATTTGCTTTCTCCCTGCTGGGCACCACAACATCTCTTGAATAAGGAATCATCTAATGCCATGAAATCCCAGTGGTGCAATACAGCTAACGCTTCTTTTAAGCCTGTGTTTTGGCCATGTCTTGCTCTTGCTTCCTTCCGAGAGGGAGGAAGGAAATGCATCCCTCCTTATTACAGGGCTACATTTTGTATTGGACCAGTCTTCACTATCATAGAGGTCCCCAGTGTACATGCTCTTTTAAATTATCTACCTATTTCATGGAAAGTAGCTAATGGAAGGGGAAGGGGAGCAGATAAAGTCTGTAAATTGCAGCCTAGCAGCCCTAATTGTGAAGGACAAGTGGTACTTGGAGCACTGCATAATAGAAATAATACGGTAGAAGCCACCATGACAGGAAAAAGCCACAGACATTGCCTGCAACACCTTTCAGTGAAGTGCATGTCACACAGCGGTTTTTGGAGCCCTTGCTCCTATAAACTTCTCCATGGGTATTGGTTTCCCACAGTAAAGCATACAGGACTACCATGCTGGCCCATTCTGCCTGCCCTGTATATCTCTGAACCTTTGTACATGCATGTAATGTTAGTGAAGGCCCTGACATCTGGAATGGGTGCAGAGTGGCAAGCCAGGAAGTGGTCACATTATTCAGACCTGTACTTGTTGGACTTCCGGTTTATGAGCTTCATGCATCCAGGGGTCTAGCAGGCATTCCCAGGGGGTGGCCACCATCCCATTCTGTCTACCACATGTTGTCTCTGTCCAGCAGAAAGTTTAATTCAGGCCAGGCCTAAGAATCATGAGTGTGTTTATTCTTACCTTTTGCTCAACGTGTATCTTGCCTCTTTCTCTCTTGCACAGAAACAGAAGAAGAAGAGAAAGCCAGAAGTGTTCAATTTCTCGGCGATTCACCTAATCCATGACCCCCAAGGCATGTACTCTTGACTTCCGTGCATAGGCACTCTTCATGAATGGTGATATTCAAGCACAATGGAATGACAGAAGAATAATAGGGTTTTCAGACAAAGGTGGCCTTGATTGTTGGGTTGATGGAATATTGAGTGTTGCCCCAGTTTTTAAAAAATGGCCCACCGCCACACAATATTAAAAACATTGTTAGGTCTTTGAGCGATTATTTTCCAGTATTCTAGTGTTTGTCCTTTACCTGTAAAAAAGGCACAGAAAATCCATTTGTGCTGACCATGCTTTAACTTCCAAGAAATAGGTTGCAAGTACATAAGAAAATATTGAAGATTCTTCCACTACAAAGTTTATCTATACAATAACTTCCACCCAAGAAAAGGCAATTACTGCACATTGACAAAACATGTGATTAAAGGAAGCGTATGTAGTACTTGTAATACTTGTAGCAGTTAGCCAACTTAGACAAAGCCTTCTTAACAGAATGGTATGACAGAGCTAATGGTGAGGAATCATGGGAGTTGTAGGGCCCCGCAGCTGTAGGGCTGCAGGTTGAAAGCTCGGTGCTCAGAAGACGGGTTTGCTGATGGAACTGGTGACATGCCGGGCAGAAGAACAGTGGGTTCAACACAACCTGCTTTAAGCCCTGGAGTAATATGAAAGGTGCTCTTATTTATGGGTTTCTCCCCCCCCCCCATTCCTGTTTTTATATGGTTCAGATTTTGCAGAGAAACTGTTAAAGCAGCTGGAATCCTCCAAGGAAAGGTTTGAAGTGAAGATGATGCTCATGGACCTTATTTCTAGGCTTGTTGGCATTCATGAGGTAAGCGCAAGATCTGTTGACTTAGCCGAGCTTTAAGTGTCTGTCAAATCTTGTTGGGGGGAGATGAACAAATATTTATTTATTTATTTATTTATTTATTTATTTATTAATTAAAACATTTTTATGCCGCCCCATTCGCCGAAGCCTCGGGGCGGCTTACAACATAGATAAAACAAGTTAAAATCCATATAAAATAATCTTAATTAAAACACACATTATAAAATAAGCCGCCCTGGCCAGATAAAATTCAATTGTATTTAGCATTTAAAATGTTGCTTAAATAAAAAGGTCTTAGCCTGGCGCCGAAAAACAAATAACGACGGCGCCAGGCGGACCTCTCTGGGGAGCGCATTCCATAACTTAGGCGCCACCGCTGAGAAAGCCCTTCTCCGAGTAGCCACCCTCCTAATTTCTCTCACGGAGGGCTCCCGGAGAAGGGCCTCTCCCGCCGATCTCAGGGGGCGACTGGGCAAATATGGATGTAAGCGCTCCTTCAGGTAACCAGGACCCAAGCCGTTTAGGGCTTTATAGGTCATTACCAACACCTTGAATTGGGCCCGGACTTCAATGGGGAGCCAGTGAAGCTGACGGAGAACTGGCGTCATGTGAACATAACGTCCAGTCCCTGTCAGCAGCCTGGCAGCTCTATTCTGAACCAATTGAAGTATGCGGACCGTCTTCCAGGGTAGCCCCACGTAGAGCGCGTTACAGAAGTCAAGACGGGAAGTCACCAGCGCATGAGTCACTGTTGCAAGGCAGTCGTACTCCAGGTAGGGGCGCAGCTGATGAATCAGCCGAAGCTGGAGGAAAGCGCTCCTCGCCGCTGTTGTCACCTGAGCTTCAAGTGAAAGCTCCGGGTCGAGGAGCACTCCCAAGCTGCGGACCTTGTCCCTAGGAGGGAGTGCAACCCCATTCAGGACAAGGTTCAGGTCACCTTCTCCGAAGCCCGAACCGCCAACCAACAGGACCTCCGTCTTGTCTGGATTGAGCTTCAGTTTATTGGCCCTCATCCAGCCCATTACCTCGGCCAGGCACCGGTTCAGTACAGCCACTGCCTCACCTGGATTGGTGGAAAACGAGAGGTAGAGCTGGGTATCATCAGCATACTGATGGGTCCGCAGCCCACACCTCCTGATGACCTCTCCCAGCGGTTTCATGTAGATATTAAACAGTAAAGGGGACAAAATGGAACCCTGCGGTACCCCATGGCAAAGCTGCCATGGCGCAGAGCCATAGTCCCCCAACACCACCTTCTGGAATCGGTCGTTGAGATAGGAGCGGAACCACCGCAAAGCGGTGCCTCCGACCCCCAATCCCGCCAGCCTATCCAGAAGGATACCATGGTCGATGGTATCGAAAGCCGCTGAGAGGTCCAGGAGAACCAACAGGGACGCACTCCCCCTGTCCTTCTCCCTGCACAGGTCATCGTACAGGGCGACCAAGGCAGATTCAGTACCGTACCCGGGTCTGAAGCCGGACTGAAATGGGTCCAGATAATCAGTTTCATCCAAGAGTGCTTGGAGTTGTCCCGCCACCACTCGCTCTAACACCTTGCCCAGAAACGGGATGTTGGCCACTGGTCTATAGTTAGCGGCCATCCCTGGATCCAGTGACGCCTTCTTCAGGACCGGTCGGACTACCGCCTCCTTTAAAGGGGCAGGCACCCGACCCTCCCTCAGAGAAGCGTTAACCACTTCCAAGATCCAGGTTCCAATCCCGTGCTTGGAATCCTTTATTAACCAAGACGGGCAAGGGTCCAAAAGGCAAGTGGTAGGACGTACTCGTCCATGCACCTTGTCCACATCATCGGGCCGCAATAACTGAAATTCATCCAGTAATTCTGGACCAGACGGCAGCGTTGGTGTCTCCCTTAAAACCTCTGAATCAATAGTGGAATCCAGCTCGTGACGAATCTGAGCGATTTTCTCCCTAAAATGCTCGGCAAAGTCGTCACAGCGGGCCTTTGAGGGTGGAATCAGCTCTTCCTTTGGCCCTGGGTGAACCAGGCCTTGCACCACTCGAAAGAGCTCCGCCGGACGGCATTGTGAGGAGGCAATGGAAGCGGAGAAGTGTCTCTTTTTCGCCGCCCTCACCGCCACAGCATAGGCCCGATAGTGGGCTCTTAAGTGTGTTCGGTCAGATTCATCCCGTGATTTCCTCCACCTACGCTCTAGCCGTCTCCCAACCTGCTTCATTGCCCTCAATTCTGGAGTGTACCAAGGGGAAGAGCGGGCTCTGCCCGGTGGGAGAGGACGCTTAGGAGCGATCGTGTCTACAGCCCTGGTCATCTCCCCATTCCACAGTTCAACCAGAGCCTCGACAGGAGCACCCATCTTGTCAGCCGGAAACTCCCCCAGAGCCTTCAGGAATCCTTCCGGATCCATCCGGCTCCGGGGGCGGACCCACACAATCGGGTCTGCACCCTTACAGAGGGAGATGTTGCTCTCGAGCACAAACCTCACTAGGAAGTGATCTGACCATGACAGGGGAGTCAAGCATAAATTCCTCACCCTCAGACCACCCTCTTCCTGCACCGTCGAGAAAACCAGGTCCAGAGTGTGTCCACGTTCATGGGTCGGGCCGGTGACATGTTGAGACAGCCCCATGGCCGTCATGGAAGCCATGAAGTCCTGAGCCGCCCCGGTCAAACTAGCCCCGGCATGGATATTGAAGTCCCCCAGGACCAGCATCCTGGGGGTCCTCAACACCAGGTCCGAGACAGTTTCCGTCAGCTCAGGCAGGGAGACTGTTGGGCAGAAGGGTGCACGGTACACCAACAGAATCCCCAATCTGTCTATCCCCAAACAAATAGACTTGTTTATGTGGGATGGACCATTGATGGAGTATTTGGACAGCAGGCAGTTCTACCTGCAACTTTGCACACGCTCAGTACATGCTGTAGTATAGATGGCTGGATCTAGACTTGCCGCCTGTTCCTCCCCGCAGCAGCCTCCAGGTCCCTGAAAGTGCTGTGGAGTTTCAGAGGGACCGAGCTGCAGGGCAGAGGGCATCCCCCGAATCGGGCAGAGGCACTGGGTCGCCTGTCTTTGGTCCTGCATTTCTCTCCTGCTGCCCCAGCCTCCTCCTGCTGGCAGGGTGACATGCAGGTGAATGCAGTGCCCATCGCAGGTGAGAAATGAGGATTCATCGCTGGCATCCTTCATGTCCTCTGTGTCTCCCCAGCTTTTCCTCTTCAACTACTACCCTTTTGTGCAGCGGTTCCTGCAGCCTCACCAGAGAGGTGAGTCTCTTCTCTTTGCTCTCTTGCTCCTGGTGCACCTGGAAGAGGGGGTAAGAGGGCATCTCCCCTACCCCACTCTGCTGCTTCTGCTGGAGGAGGGCTTTACGTCCTCCCCAAGGAAGAGTCTGTGGGTCTGAGAACGTGTATGAACTGCTCCCATTTCTATGATGGTCCTTTCTTTCCACTTCTTTAGAAGTTACCAAGATTCTTCTGTTTGCTGCACAGGCTTCTCATCAGCTTGTCCCACCCGAGGTGAGGATTTTTCAAAGTTCTTTTGTAAAACCAGGGAACTCGCAGTAGAAAAAGGGCCATGGTTGAGTCTTCAGACTTCCTTTCTGGGAGGGACTTCCAGGTAGTAAATACTGGGCATTCCCAGCATTGAGATCCACATGCAGCTATTATGCTAGGAAGCATCATTCTGCCTGAATTACCCTATAATGGACCTCAAGGCCACCAGCCAACTCAGCTCTCCTGCGGTCCCATTCTGGCACTCCTGACCAAGGTGACCAAGGTGGTCATGCCCTCTTTTGGCACCACCTGGCCCTAAACCCTCCAATTTGCCAGCTTTCTTGGCACACTTTCCTCCCATTCGAAAATGTGGAATTGATGTTCCTGGGGCTTAGTTACTGGAAAATAGAGCTAAAATATGGCAGTGTCTTGGACTTTCCCGCTTTGCTTCAGCCCACCACTGGGATGGGTCTTGCTAGAGCTTTACAGAAATTGAATTCAGCCCTCGGTGGAAAGACATTCTGCTCCCCTGCTCTCTAGGTTGGTTTGTTTATTTCAGAACATTTAGAAACCACTTCCAATATGTAAAAATCCCAGAGCAGTTTGCAGCGAGTAATAAAGCATTGCATCATCATAAAAGCACAACAAGCTGCGAAAGACTGCTGGGAAAAGCCAGGATAAACAAGCATGCTTTTAGTAATCATTGAAAGCACATGAACTCTGGTGCCTGATATATTCTGGGGGTGGTCATTCTGGGGGGGGGGGCAATGTGAAGGCCATTTCCCATGTCATCAGATGGGACTTGCATCAGATGCAAGATGTAGCATGGATCTCCAGACGGCCACAGAAGACCATGGTAGTCTGAAATGGCTGTATGTCAGGAGATGGTCTTTTGGGACTTGTTTCTAAGAAGCTTAGGACTTTATATAAGTTGTGTTGGATTCCTGGCAAGAAGAAGAAAGTCAGGATGTAAATGCAATGTGATACTTATATGTCAATCATAATAATAACAATACCTTGAACTAGGACCAGTCCAAACCAGTTTTATATAGCATTAGAGTACTGAATTAGGACTCAGGAGACCTGTGTTCACATCCATGCACAGACTTTGGCCCAGTCACTCTCTCAGCCTAACCTACCTCCCAGGATTGTTGTGAAGCGAAAATGGGGTGGGGAGCAAATGATGAACCCCTTTTGGAGATCAAGATATAAATGCAGAAAATAGAAAAGTGTTCCATTTTTGGACTAACAGGATGCTACAAGTGGTATCTGACCTGCTTAGCTCCTAAAGGAAGGAAGGTCAGTTGCCCAGCCCTGAATGGAGTTCTGTTTTTGCATGTACATTCATGGGAAAGGTTGCATGTGCATTGCAGCCCTTGATCTGTACAGCTGCTTGTTGCTTCCTCAGGTTATCCAGTCGGTGCTGATGACGATAGCCAACAACTTTGTCACAGACAAAAACTCCGGGGAAGTGATGACTGTTGGGTGAGTGTGCAACCCGTGTTCCTTGCTGCTCCCATCCCCACCAGTTAGCGAAAGTGTGAGGTGGTGCTTCTTTTCCCTAAATAGCAATTTACCCTTTGCACCTCGCAGTAGCAAAATAATGTCACATAAATTGATTTTCCTTCGCAGCAGCTGGCTCTTCGTGTTGTAAACATTGGTTCCTTTGGTTCCTCGCTTTCTTTCTGTGAAGCACAGAGTATCTAAAACAAAACTAAGGATGCATATTTTTCCAAGGCTGTGTCATCCTAAAAAGAGACTGTTTACTGCAGTGCTCTTAAACTTTCCACTTTCCAGGATTAATGCTATCAAAGAGATATCTGCGAGATGCCCCCTGGCCATGACGGAGGACTTGCTTCATGACCTTGCACAATACAGATCCCACAAAAATAAAAGTAAGTTTGTTCTTTTGCACATGCACAAAATTGATTTAGGGGCACCTTATGTTCTCCTATTGCCTTTTCAGAGATTGGGGCTCCATTATTAAACTTGTATTATGCCCAGGACCATGCACTCTACACAGAGGACAAGACTAGTTTTTTAATTCCAAGCACACAAATCTTTAAATTATCTGGGATTTCAACTTTCTGAGATTATGGTTGCTTTGTTCATTTGCACATTATGTTTCTAATTGGAAGTAAGTCGTCAAGAGAAAAGCTGGAGTAATGCAAGAGTGTACTTCATGACCAGCCTGAAGCGAGTTTTGCAGCCCATCTTCAGTTCTGCCCAATATTTTGTTACAGATGTAATGATGTCAGCAAGAACACTGATACACTTGTTCCGGTCCCTTAATCCGCAGCTGTTGCAGAAAAAGTTCCGGGTAAATAATGCTTTGAATTTTCATGCTGTGAAGGAATGGGCTTGCTAAGCCTTGATTGTGTGCGTCTTTGGAACATTATCCTTGCTTATACTAAAGAAGCAAGTGGCATGCAGTGATAAGTTGATTTGAATTCCTGGGGGAAAGGATCCTTTGTCCTGGGGAAGGTTTCAGTAGCAAGGGCCTTTCCTGTTGCTTGTATGGTGTTCAAGGGGAAGAGAGCTGCTGATGGAAAACAGGAGTTTCCCATTGGCAGCACATCCATTGTACAAGCCTTGAACTCTTCTTATCTCTCTGAGAGTTCATCCCCTTCTCAATTCCCTTATTAGTCTATTTTTCAGGATGGGAAGGAAGTCACTTCTTTCTGTGTTCTGGGATTTCCCAAGTCCGAACAACTGAGCTTTCTGTGCCCATTTCAGAACAACAGTGTCTTGACCCGTAGTCACACATCTTTAGCAGAGTGTTCAGGAAGGCAAAGGCATGCAGAAGAGTCTGAAGAATAAAACCAAAGCCAGGCCAGTATGGCATCAAGCTAAGGATGAACATCTTGTGGTTCTCTAGAAGTTTTGGCTCACAGCTTTTGTCATCCCTCTGTATTGATTGCACTGGATTAAGTCTCACAGTTACTAGTCTTTCTAAGCAAAATCACTAAACTGTGTTGCATGTCATGACTGTGGAGGGCTAGGGGCAAGTTGCACTAGGCAGACAAGTGGAAGACTCGGTATTGCAAGACCTGTAGTGTGCAAGTTGGCCCTTGCACAAGGGAGCATGATATCAATACACAGAAAGGTGGGCTAAATGGTGGGTTAGCCGTTGTGTGGGTCCTTGGCTCGGTGGGACAACACAACCTTTGCGTGCAGTCGGTCCCAATTCCTGGCACATACACCTAAAAGGATCAGGTAGCAAATGATGGCCAAGACATTGGACAGATATTATAATTATTATTGCAATGCATTTATAGCCAACGTTTTTCCTCTTGTGGTGAACTTAAGGCAGGCTCCACAGCTCTATTCTATCACCACAACAGCAGCCCTGTGAGGGAGGTTAAGCTAAGAGTTAGTGATTGGCCCAAAGGCACTCAATGAGCTTCATGGCCAAGTGGGACTAGAACCCGGATCCCCCAGGCCCTAATCCAACACTCTAACCATTATGCCAGTGAATAAAAGCTACATGGTTGCCCATCACCTCTAGTTTGCCAGTTTAAGATTAAGCTTGCTGTGAGGCCATAAAAGCTAAGTAAGGAGTTGAGCTAAAAGTGGCTCTAAGGCCAACCAGATTATCAGGTTTTGTCTGTAATAAAACACTTCCCTAAATTGTGTGAAGCTATAGGCAGATGTCCATTGACACGCAAATGTCTTGGTTACTCTTAGGGTAAACCGACTGAAGCCATGTCAGAAGCCAAAATTCATGAATATGGAGAGCTGGATGCCAAGGATTATATTCCAGGAGCCGAAGTCCTGGAACTTGAGTCTAAGGAAGAAGATGGAAAACTTGATGAAGGTTGGTTTTATCTTTGTTTTCACAGATGTTTTGCCTATCTTGCCACTGAAGTTAGAATTGCCATGCAGCATGTTCTTCTGACAAAATTTTGGGAAATGAAACAAAAAAAAGTACACAGTGTGACAGTAAAACAACTGCCAGAATATATGTAAAATCACCGTGTTGACCATTCACAAAGCAGGATTAAGGAGAGCACAAAGATCCTGGCATTGCTAAGCTAATACACACTTGGTCTGTTATTAATATTTATTGCATTTCTATGCTACCCCACAGATGACGCTCTCAGGACGCTTTACAGAAATCCATAAAACAGAACAATAAAATACAACTATCATCAAAGCATTAAAATAATTTTAAATAGCTAAAACATGCAATAAAACCGGCCTGTACAGGAGAAAACAAAATCACCCAGAATGGATAATCCTCTCAAGCCCCTGGGTAGCGGAGTCCATCTTTGAGGGCTTCAGCATAAAGGGCTGTCTTAACCTGGTGCCTGACAATAGATCTGGTGCCAGGCTGGCCTCAGTGGGGAGGCTGTTCCATAGGTGAGGGGCCACTTTAGAGAAAGCTCTCCCCTCTGAGGCCACCCTCCAAGCCTCCCTCAGAGTTGGCGCTCGGGAAGGCCCCAGAAGTTGAGTGTGCCATCCAAGTAGATCATGGTTGGGAGAGGCGCTCCAACAGGTATTGCGGTCCCAAGCCATGTAAGAGTTGTATAGGTTAAAACCAGCACCTCGAGTTGGTTCCACATGTGCTCATTTCCAAACCCTAAAAGTGGGAGCTGCCTCAACACAGGTGCTCCTTACCTGACTCTGCACCCTTTTGCTGCTTTGCAGATGGTTGGGAGACGGCCAGTTCCGCTGAAGAGGAAGAGGATGAAGATGGAGGATGGGTGGATGTCCATCATTCCTCAGATGAGGAACAGCAAGAGCTAGTAGGGTTCCTTTTGGTTTTCCTCTATTCTATTCTACTGTACTCTGCTCTACTCTACCCTATTGAGCTGAGCTGAGCTGAGCTGAGCTGAGCTGAGCTGAGCTGAGCTGAGATGGCTGGCTGGTTTTCTTGCTGATCAAACCAGCAGATCCAGTGCTAAAAAGATACATAAGTGCTCTTTCGCAGTAGTGTTTGATAAGATTCCAGATTGTGCAGTCTTCCTCTAATTGCATTTCATGTGCACCTTTGCTTTTAAAGGCCAAAAAGGTTCAAAGCATGCCCACGGAGGAGCGGAAGGCCAAAGCGTCAGCCATCAGCAGCAGCAGGCTCCTTACCCAGGACGACTTCCAGAAAATACGTCTCGCCCAGCTCAGCAAAGAACTCAAGGCGGCTCCTGGCAAGGCTGCAAAAAGGAAGAACATTGACATCAGCAATGACGAGGAATCAAGGTAAAAGTCAGAGCTCTCAGGTGTGCGGTTCCTGTTTGTGTCCGGTGTGCTGGCAACATCACAGGCGGAAACGTTTGGGTACATGAGGGTAGCCTTCTGTGCGGTTTCGGAAGATCTTTTGGGATCTGGAGTATCTGGCACATTTCGTGCCTCCCTTGTAGCTATTCTTCCTGGCCTCTGCAGCCCAGCTACACCCTAAATTCTTGAAACCCAAATAAGTAGATATGGAAACTTTAACATTTGGTGTTTATCCATACTACACAGTATTCCATCCTTACGAACCAGGTAATATAAAATCGAATGTGGGTATCATTCCGTATTTGAGTTTAATTTTTGAGCCAATTCTGTGGGCCGAGTTGATAGGATTCTGCACCGTAGTATTTTGATCTCAGTGTCTCTCTGCAGGAGTGGTTCATGGCAAGATGGCGGTTCTTGCATTGCACTGCTTGGCTGCAAATGTAAGATTGCTAACTGGGGGTGGGGAGGTATTTTACAGGGAGGAGTATACATTTTTTGGTACTCTGGGTATCTTTAGGAGAGGAGGAGGGTAATCACCATCTCGCTTGTTTTGCTGGTCTTTTTATAATCTCTGGGCTAAAGGTTTTATTGATAATCTCTGTGTTAACATCATCTTGAATATTTAAGTATTGCCTTTCAATTGTATTTGTTCCACATGCTTCTCCATAGTTTTTACTTTGTACCCTGTTTGAGAGGGTTCCTTTCATAAGGTGGCCTGACTAATGTAAAAAAAATGTACTTCATGAATAATTATTAAAGAACCATTATTCTTTCAACTGAACTTCCAGAATTTTTCCATTCCAGCTTCTTTCTGAATAATCTGTAAAAAGACTTGCATGCTGCCCTTATTCCAAGCATCCTGGTCCATCCAGAACTGGCAGAGGGGTTTGTACAAAGCAATGATAACGCCACTCTGACATGAAGCAATATTCTGCATTTGGTCTTTTCAGGGGTGAGCTGCTTTCCCTCAGGGTCATTGAACATCTTCATAAGAAGCCCAAGTCAGACAAAGAGACAAGACTGGCTACAGCAATGGTGAGAAGGTTTAACTGTTCTGCTCCAGGGACCTGCAGCCAAAGCTTTGCTGGGTTAGTTTGAATCCAGTGTGTGAGCCAGGGCGGTGCAACAATTGCGAACCACCCAGAGAGCTCCAGCAAATGGGTGGCATGAAAGTGCGATAAATAAATGTTGGACTAGGACTCAGGAGACCTGGGTTCTAATCCCCACTCAGACTGGAAGGCCTTAGCTCTCAGTATTACCTGCCTCACAGGGTAGTTGAAAAGATATCAAGGAGAGGAAGAGGGCCTTGTAAACTGCCTTGCATTCCTTGCAAGAGCTAAAAAGGAGGGATTTAAATGCGATACAAAAAATATGGACCTCGTCGGTTCATTGGTATTCATAGACAGTCTCTTTACCTATCAAAGGAGTTTTTGCCTGTCCAGGAATACCTAAATGTCTTATTTCTTGTGAGGTTTTTCATTCCACTCCAGTTGATTCGCTTCCATGATGGGTGTCTGTCTCCCTTTCTTGCTCTTATTCCACCCATGTTCCCTTTGGATTCATGCATTCCCACTCTGACCCCTTCCATTCCACCTGCCCCTCTGCATTCTCTGCCCACAGCACATCCATCTCCTCGTTTCTGGATTCAGCATAAAGTTTCCCCTCTGCTCTCTTCAGTGCTTCCAGCCCTTCTGTTCCCCCAAACTCCCTGGGTCTCCTTTCTCAGATCCGAGTGGAGAAGTAGGTGGAAGGTGTTATTTGTGATGGTGTCTTAGTTTGGTGGAATGCATGTGTCTTTAGGAGAGGGTTAGCCTGAGCAGGACCAAGGTCCATTGGGACCTGGATGGAAGACTGCAAGCTTGTGCTAGAGGCAGTGCAGAAATGAGGAGAACTAGGCTGAAATGGCACTCAGCCCCTTGACATGGCCAGCACTGAGCACAGCCAGGGCTCTGCATATTTTGGTCTTTAAAAAAATCTGTGCACAAATCATTGAAATTCTGTCACAAGAAAAGCTGAGTTTCACTTGCTATATGCATTGTATAATGTCCCACTCTTTTGCTCAATTCTAGTTGAGTTAGTCATGTGGATTTAAGGGATGCCGAAGCCTCCCTTCTAGCTACTAAACATCTTTTCTCACCACTTAACCTGGCTCCTGAAAGTTCATCAAGCTTTGCCATCCCAGCTTTGCCAGCCAAAACCTTTTTATTTTCCCATTATTTTAAGACTTAATTTTTTATTTTAATTGGGCTTTTATCATAGATACTATGCTGTGCTTTTCTTGTTGGACCATCCCGAGGCTTTTATGTATAGAACGGGGTACAAAAGTTTTAAATAAATAAATTAAAAAACCCTTCATAAGGGCTAGAAACTTAATCTTTTTTCTTTTTAAATAATAATATAGATTCTCAGGACGCTGAATTCTATGTTTTAAGATTTTTTAACTGGTAAATTGCAAGTTACCTTAGCTAGAAAATTCACTGTACCTTTAAAATAAGTGAGAAAGTGTCTGGATGTGCTCCTCTTCCATCATTTTCAGGCTGGCAAGACAGACAGAAAAGAATTCGTGAAAAAGAAGTCCAAAATGAATCCATTTGCCAGCTCTACAAACAAAGAGAAGAAGAAGCAAAAGAATTTCATGATGATGCGATACAGCAACAATGTCCGGTCAAAAAATAAACGGTCATTCAGGGAGAAACAGGCAAGTGCTTAATACCTGTGTCCACATTGGGACCTTCCCGTACTTGTCCAAAAATACCCCATCTGGGCAAAATCCCCAGAATCATGGCTACCAATGAGGAGATTGACCCTAATGCATCCGTCTAATTGCAGATATCTTTAAAAAACCCTTTGTACTTAAGAGAAAAAGTAAGGATTTTGAGTTAAATAGAATCCTGACAGTTCCAAATGGAAATGAAAGGCAGTGTGGCATAGTGATTAGAGCGTAGGACTGGCACTCAAGAGATCAGGGCTCTAGTGCCCACTCAGCCATGAAGCTGACAAGGTGGCATTGGGCCAGTCACGGACTTTCAGCCTAACCTACCTCACAGGGTTGTTGTTTTGAGGATAATGTGGAAGAGGTGGAGGACTAGGGAAATCACTTCAGGTTCCTCACAAGAAGAAAAGAGGCAGGTAATATATGTAATAGTGGTTAGAGAGGCTTGTCTGCTGAAAATGGTTCCATGGTAATTATATTGGTGATCATTTAAGAGAAGCTTCTATCATAGACTGGACTATGTTGCCCAGCATTTTGAGGACCAGCAAGGGTCATTGGAGCAGGGTACTCTTCCTTGGGGTTTCTGCACACTGAGCAATTGCTGTAGTTCAGAATACGCACCTGTAGAATACGTGGTGTCTTTAATTCTTCTATTTTTCTTTCCCATTTCCAAATGCAAGTTTCTGTCCCTCATGGCTGTAGGGAAGCTGCAAAAAGCAAAGGGACGGACTGGTAAAATAATTGAAGCAGGATCTTCAGTGATGAAAGGATGGAGGTTCGGTGGTCTTGCACCGTTGCCTTACTCTGGTAGTCCGATAATCCTCAAGCACGATATATTCAGTGCCTCGTCCAGATGTCCCTACCTTTTGCCATCCAGATGTGTTGGATGGCGTGCACGTTATTCCTGGATTGGGAGGTGGGGGTGTTGATGGGTGATGCAGTCCAGTACACTGGAAAAGGGCCAGGCTGGAGAAGGGTGGCCAAAGTGTCCTCCCTCCCCACCCCCAATTTCACATTGAATAACATTCTGGGTCTTCGAATTGATTAAGAAAACCGGATCTTACAACTGGGGAATGTTTCTTGGGATTTTCAGTGCAGAAGTTCAGTCCTTCAAAAACCTGAACCTTCCAGCTTGTACCTGTTCTGCGCAACTGAGGCATATTTTTTTTCTGGTATTGCAGCTGGCTTTACGGGAGGCGCTCTTGAGGCAGAAAAAACGGCTGGTAAAATAACAGCTGATATGACTGATTTCACATCTGGATCTCTAGAAGCCATCTTAGTCTCTTGGAAAATAAAAATTCCCAACGACAGACGCATGGTGGACATTTGGACTCTGTTAACTGTGGTGAAATATCTCTTAATTAAATCTGGTGGGGCACAGGGAGAGAGTGAAATTGATCTAATATTTCGAAAGACTCTCTACGTTGGCAGAAAAGACAAGATTTCTCATTTAATGTAATTTAAATGTATTCCTAACTAATGACAGATAAGAGCTCTGATACGCGTTCATGAATGGACGACGACTTTGGGAATCCTGTGGGTACAGTAGGATTAATTTAAGAACAACCCTGCATCTTAGCAGTGTATAAGCTTGCAAATTTTTATGTAAGTGGGAGGGGAATGTATCTTCTCTTCTGCTGTATATTTTAAATATTTTCTGTGTTCTTACTATATTTAAAAGGTTTTATTCTGTGCACATTGCATTGTCAAATTAAGTGCAGCCAATTTACCTTGATTGATAACTTTTACATTGTTACATGGTGCCTTTAGATATCAGTGTGTCCCCAAATACCACAGTCACCCCCCATGGACTTCCTGCTGATTATTATTTTATTTAAGATATTTTTCTTTAAAAAAACAAACTTGGAACCTGATCTTCTGCAAAGTGAAGTGTGATGCTCACATACTATCTTTATTTGGATTTAAAAGGCATATTGCAGCAAATTTGAAGGATAACCCTAGCTATGAGAGAAAGGGACTTGTGTCTGATGTCACCAAAAAAGCAGAACAATATCTTAAATAAAATGAAAAATAAAGAGGGGCAAGGAGTCTGGTGGGTTTGGGCACACTGTAACCTGTATGATAGACAAGGAGTGACTGTAGGGACAAAATACGGAGAAACAGAATTGTTTCCTATGGGCAAAGGCATCAACCAAGGGTGTTTTCTGCCCTGCTGTCTGTTCTATCTGTACGCAGAATATATCATAATGAAAGTTGAATTAGGATCAGAGGAGGAAGGAGTGAAAATTGGCAGGCGAAAAAACAATTTAAGATATGCGTTGATGCCATATTTCTGGTGGAAAGCAGCCATGGACCGAAATGTCTCGTGATGGAAGTGAAAGGAGAATGTGCAAAAGCAGGACTTGAGCTGTATAAGAGGAAATGAAACACCGTGACTATTAAGAGGAAATTACACAACCTTGAGGTCAGCAATGAGCCGCCCCGAGGCTTTGTTGCGATGGGGGCGGCATAGAAATGTTTTTTTATTTTTATACATATATATAAAAAAATAAGGAATTGGAAGTTTGAAACAGTTTTGGCTCAGTCATCAATTCAAACAGAGACTGGGGGCGGCATAGAAATGTTTTAAATAAATAAATAAATAAATAAATAAAGAAGGAATCAAAGGTTTGAAACAGTTTTGGCTCAGTCATCAATTCAAACAGAGACTGGGGGCGGCATAGAAATGTTTTAAATAAATAAATAAATAAATAAATAAGGAATCAAAGGTTTGAAACAGTTTTGGCTCAGTCATCAATTCAAACAGAGACTGTAGCCAAGAAATTTGAAGACAGCTGAGACTTAGAAGGCAGCAATAAGGGAACATCAGGTGTAAGGCCAAATGAAAAATTGATAAAATGAAAGTTGTCTACTTTGGGCACATCCTGAGAAGGCAAGACTCACTGGAGAAGACAATTGTGCTACAGAAGTTTGAAGGGATAAGAAGAGGAAGATCAAAAAGAACTAGATTGCCCCCATAAAGGAAGCCAGTCTTGAGTTTTCAAGAGCTGAGCAGGGCTGTCTAGGGCAGGAAATTTTGGAGATCATCCGCCCATTGGGTCATCATAAAGCAGAGACAACTTGATGACAAGAACCATCAGTCTTCCAGATCTTGTGCCACTACAACTCCTATCACGCCTCCTCTTGGGCATGAATTTGTGGGCCAAATAACTAGAGGGCTGATTAACGAAATCCTGCCGTGAGTTCCAGCTGCCAACTGCTGTTTGGGGTGATGACGTTTTGCAAGCCTATGTTTGGGTTGAAGGACTGTTAATTTAATAATCTTGTGATCTATGGGATAAAGTTTTATTCCTTTGCCTAATAGGATTGTTATGCAACAAGCTGTGAAAATACTCCTGAAGTTAAATAACCAAGACTCCCAACAGAGTGAGGCAATTTCTTCGTTTATTACAATAGACGGGGAGAGCCCGCTCTATCAGAATCTCTCCAAAGTACAGACACACAAAAGAGCTCCTTTTACCGCTCAGTCCATCTGTCACAGTCCTCCCCTTTTCCCTCATTAGGTAAGGTACTAGGAGGTTACAGTCTTTCTGTCTGCCTACTTCATATCTCCCATCTCATCCCACTACATGCATCTACATACCCCCATAAGTGCATCATCATCATCATCATCATCATCATCATCATCATCATCATCATTATTATTATTACATTTCTATGCCACCCCTTGCCGAAGCCTCGGGGCGGCTTACAACACAGTAAGATACATTGAAATACAATAGAACATAATAAATTACCAATAAATACAAAAATACAAAAAATACACAGATACAATAATACAAAATTAAAATTAACAGTATAATTATAATTAGCCCATTGTCTATTCAAGGTGTGTGTGTTAATATTCATCAACCTATTTCACCTGCGTGCTTATAACTACAAGTTCACTAGTTCACTCCTCTCTAACTTCACCTTGCCCTATGCCCCCCGCAGCTCATAAAACTACTGGGAGGATGAGATAGGAAGTAGCACACTTCTTTCAAGCCAATTACCTTTTTCTCCCGTCCACATTCCTTCAGACAGGCTTCATCGCTCCTTTGTTTGCCCCTCTGTTTTTCGATCGCAGAATTACTACCTTCAGGAGTAACGGAACCAAGTTAAGGAGAGCATGTTCCCAGGGCAAAGTGTACCTAGGTGAACACTGCCCTGTCCTAGCTTTCAGCTTTGATAAAGATTCTGCAGTAGGCTGCATCTTTTCATTTAGAAATGAAATGCTTCTCAAACTTGAGGGAGGCAAGCCTTGTTTGCAAACACTTTCAAAGTGACTGCATGGTTTTTTTCAAAAAAGTATGTTTCCCACTGGGCAGTTGCTTCAGTGGAAATGCAGTTTTTTCCAATTGAATCAAGGACCATTAGATCATTGAGGAATTATACTGGACTCATTTTCAATGTGGGAAGTAAGTGGCGCAAGCAACTTTTATGGTAGGTGGAACCTTCCTCTGTGCATTCAGATTTTTCATTTAATTTGACATAAGACTTCAGCTACTTATATGGCACAATCTTTTTGTTTTCACAGGGGTGACAATTCAGAAATTGTCTCCTCCCCTTGTTGTTAGCAAGCAAGCAATCTGGATCCCACACCTCTGCAGCTTAGAGCCAGCCTCAGCTGCACAAAATGACCGCAACCTGTCCTCCCAGGGGTATATTGCAGGTTGCATGGGACAAATGACTTCAAGGTGGCAAACGCCCTGAAGCATTCGCTAAATCTTTCTCTGAAAAAGCAGTGCTGGAGGCCACTGCAAGCGAAGTAAACGCCCTTCCTTTAATCTGGGTTATCAACTCACCAGGAGGAAAGCAAGGCAAGGCTTGTCTGTCCCGCCCCTTTTAAGAGGAGCTTGGTTCATGGCAATCCTCAGGGGAAGCGTCTCACAGCAAGGCAATAGGCACTCGCCTTAGTACCTGCGCACTAAGGAAAACTATTGGCAAGCCTGCGTTTATTATTTATTTATTTATTAAAACATTTCTATGCCGCCCCATTTGCCGAAGCCTTGGGGCGGCTCACAACATAAAATAAATTAATATAAAACAAGTCGCTCTGGCCAAATAAAATAAGCAAATAATATTAACAATTAAAATGACATTTAAATAAAAAGGTCTTTGCCTGGTGCCGAAAAACAAATAACGACGGCGCCAGGCGGACCTCTCTGGGGAGTGCATTCCATAGATTGGGCGCCACCGCAGAGAAAGCCCTCCTCTGGGTACCCACCCTCCTGATTTCTTTCACGGAGGGTTCCCAGAGAAGGGCCTCTCCTGCTGATCTCAAGGGGCGGGCGGGCATATATGGATGTAAGCGCTCCTTCAGGTAACCAGGGCCCAAGCCGTTTAGGGCTTTATAGGTCATCGCCAACACCTTGAATTGGGCCCGGACTTCAATGGGAAGTCAGTGAAGCTGACGGACAACTGGAGTCATGTGAACATAATGCCCAGTCCCCGTCAGCAGCCTGGCAGCTCTATTTTGAACCAATTGAAGTATCCGGACCGTCTTCAGGGGAAGCCCCACATAAAGCGCGTTACAGAAGTCTAGGCGGGAAGTCACCAGCACATGTGTCACCGTCGCCAGGCAGTCGTACTCCAGGTTGGGGTGCAGCTGATGGATCAGCCGAAGCTGAAGGAAAGCGCTCCTCGCCACCACTGTCACCTGAGCTTCCAGTGAAAGCTCAGGGTCGAGGAGCACTCCCAGGCTGCGGACCTTGTCCCTAAGAGGGAGTGCAACCCCATTCAGGACTAGGCTCAATTCACCCTCTCCTAAGCCCGATCCGCCAACCAACAGGACCTCCGTCTTGTCTGGGTTGAGCTTCAGTTTATTTAGCAGTCCAGGCCCTCCAAATGCCATTTGGCAAGCAGAAAACCAAAGGGAACTGCCGGCTTGCAGACCGTGTCTAAATTAGCACAAGCAGCGTCGCGCTTGCCCTTTTTGTTTTTTAAACACGTGGGCCTCAGCGCCGGATCTCTGCGGGACCCTGCGCCGCCCCTGCGTGTCGGGGCACTGCGGGAAAAGGGCGCGCCCGCGGGCGACGTTCGCCGGCCACGCAGCCGCGGAGTCACGCGCTCCTCGCGGGCGGGGGGCGGTGGCGAAAGGAGAGTAAAACGGGGAGGCGAGCAGGGCGGCGGGAGTAGCCAATCCGCGCGTCCCCTCGCCCTGCCCGGGCCCGAGGCGCTTCTGTGGGGCCCAAGTAACACTCGGCGCGCCCGGCCGGATGGGCGCCATTCCTCCCCTTCCCCGGCCGGGTCGCGCGTCGCTCTCGGCCGCACCGATGGGACGCGCGCTGCGCGGGGCAGCCCGGGGCGCGCCGCTGCCGCTTCCGCCGCTGCTGCTGCTGCTGGCGCTCCCGCGGGCGCCGAGCGACGCGGCGGCCCCCCAGAGCGCGCCCGCCGGCGCTGCGCCCTTGCGCTGCAACGTCAGCCTGGACAGCGCGCCGGAGCACCGCTGGGACGCGGCGCTGCGCCTCTTCGACCCGGACTTCCTGCGCGCCGCCTTTTTCCGGATCCTCGAGTGAGTGCAGGTCGGGCGCCTCGCTCCCCTTGCTCCTCCTGGGGACGCTGCGGGGATGATGGGCGCTGGAATGCAGCCCATCGCAGGGCAGCGCGGAAGGCTGGTCCTGGCGCCTCGCTCCGCACATGCCCCTGCAGGGGTCTCCTTGCACCCGTTCGTAATGTCTAACGCAAACCCGGGCGGGCCTCTGGCTTTGCTCGCCAGCTGCCCTTCATCGGCGCTTGCTTGGGTTGCCGAGTGCCGGCGGGCAGCGCTCCCGGCCCGCCCGTGTGCCTTGACCTGCCAGCACCGGAGGCCCGCACGGGCGAAGTCTGCGCTGCAGACATCTCTCCCTCCCTCTTCGTGGCTCCGTGGCACGGAGAGAACCCGTCGTGCCGAGCAGCTTGCGCCGTGCTTAGCTGTGCTTCCCGCGGAGGAGTCCCGGCCCCGGAGGACTGGCGCTGATGGAAGGATGTTGGGCTGGTACCCAAGCATTGGCCGAGCCAAAGGCCTGCTTTTGATGGAGAGGGAAGCTGCGAGGACTGACCTGTAGAAACAGGCCACCCCTTTGGGCTCTCCCTGCGTGTATAGGCAGCATCCTGATGCGCGCGGCATTTTAAGTATAGCTTTTTAAAGAACATTGTAAATTCCATCTCCTCACAAACGAGCTAATCTACACGTACAGCCTCAGGGGCATGAATATGCACGATAGTTTTTGGTTTGTTTCTTGGAAGTGACTTTGCCCAGCCGGCCAGCACTTGCCCCATTCCTTTCTGTTCCTCTCTATAAAGTCCCACGTCCAAGTCCATAAGCTGGAGAAGAACTGGTATTTTGCCCTTGTGTGCAGGACACGCAAGTCAGAGGAGTCAAGAGGGTGGGCGTGTTACCTCAGGCTAAGCCATGGGAGGTTAATTAAGTAGGGGGAGGGGATGCACTTGTGGGGGCCCACCATGCGGTTGTTGTCTGTGTGTGATGCAGTCCTTCCTTCTCCCAGCATGTTGCTGACAGAGGCAGTGAGTTGTGTGCTATTCCATAAATATAGGTTTGGTTCTGTGCAACTGTGCCTTTGTTTACACTGGTTAAGGGGAAATTCATGTTGATTGGCACATTTGTTTAAATGCAGAATAGTGATTATACCTACTAGAAAAGTAGGATATGTATTCAATGTACTACTTTTAATAAAACAATGTTTTTTATATTCCCAATATTTTTATAACAGTAAAAAACACAACGTTACCTCAGAATAGTCCTTGTTGATTTTGTAAAAAGCAGACAAATCCATTTTACTGATTAGATTTGCACTCTTGTTTAAGAAATGTGAACATTCAGTTGATAGTTGGACTGACTGATGGAACACTTGATCTGAATCAGCTATTAAAACCCGAGTGTTCTCTCAGGACGTCTTTACAGAGCCCTAATTGTGCTCTTATACTCACTCGCAGGAGTTTGAGGGCCTTTTCATAAGGTTGTCATCCTCCAGAGCTACTCCCCCAATCTCCATCCTTTCAAGCAAGTACTTTAGAGTGAGGAAAGTCTGGTATTAAATTTTGAAGTGCCAAAACAAAGGCCTCTTGAGAAGTCACAAATCGGCTACAGCGCAAGTCATACCACAGTGTACCTTGTGCCATTGTCACCCAGGGGGTGGGGGGACCTCTGTCAAGGACACTTACCCCCCCACAGCAATGAAACAGGAAGGAACCTCAGTAGAGTAGCAGGTTAAATTCCTCCTGTAGAGAAGCTGTTAGTGATTTAAAATGATGATTCAGCTCACCTTGACTCAAACACATTGCCCTGGTTTGCAGAAGATCAGCAAGGCTGTCTGTTCCTTGTTGCTTGTCGATAGCAACAACTGCAAGGACTGAGCTCGGTTCTGGGTCTAAAGACAAGCCCTGAGCTGAGCAAGTGTCCAGACACACCCTGTTTCTTGGTGCTGTGTTCCAGACAATCCTAGTTCCTGCTTCGACCTTCTTGGTGGTAGATGTTGCTGCTTGCCAGCCTGCAGTTGGCTGATCCCAGTTCTACAGTCCATTTCTGTGTTCTGCTACCAAGCTTAAGACCGTTCCAAGTCAGTGACCGAGGCTTTCTGTATTTTCCTGTCATCCAGTTTAGCAGTCCCCGAGAAGGTTCATGCAATTCTTCGGCCCATAGCTGAAGAACTAGCATTCAGCATCCACCAGGAGTATGCAGGAGAGATTCGGGGACTCAGCAACGCCCTGGGGCTAAATGTTGGGGACGGACTCCTACTCAATCTGGCCTATGAGTACAGTGCGTAAGTATTTGGCTAGAAGGGCAACTCGGAGGTGGCAAGGAGAAGTCCGCTGGTGCAGGGAGTGGTTCCGATGTTGCCAGGAATGTGTGCCGAATTGCTTCCTCCATGTGTTTCCTTAGTAAAAGAAGAGTGGCACTATGTTGCCCTGTCAAAGTTTACCTGCAAGGTAAAGTGAAGCTAGGGAAAGGAATCCTCGCGTAGTCACCAGCCGTGCATTCCTTATGAGGGCTGATTTGGCTCATATGTGGTCCTTTTTCCCTTCTTCTGGAACCAGGTAGTGGTCACCCCCTGCAGTGGCGCTGTGGTGGTGTGAGGGAAATGTGCACAGACAGCTCACCGTTTGGGCATTGCTCGGGGGCATGGCAAGAAAGTCAGAATGACAGCTGCCCACCCACAGGTGTGTGGTACATCTCGAAGAGCAGGGATGGGCAGAAGGGGCTGGTGGGTCCTTCCAGCAGCTGTCGGCCCTTCTCCATAGATTGTCCCCAAACTCTGGTATTCCGGGAGTTATTTCCTTTTCTAACACAGAGGTCTAATTCAGGTGTTCCAGCAAACAGCCCCCGGCAGATCTGCCCTTCTCCGAAGGAACATGCAGTGTGAATACACAGTTGGTACCCACCCATTGTTTCTTTGTGGCGAGGCAAATGCTGCACCCTAACTAAATAATTAGTATTTCGCCCATTCATCTGCAGCTCTCAGAGCTCTGTTGTGTGTATGCAGTTCCTGGGTAAGCAGGTTTCCCCATTCATCTGCACGGACAGTCAGTTCTGCGCTTGCACCCCTTCAGACTGCACTAAGCTGCCCCCTCCTTGGAAGTAACTGGGGGAGATCTTGTAGGGCGAGGCCCATGTGCTGAGCAGATCTCGTGACGGTAAGGCCTCACCACGTGTGTTCCAAAATTGGGAAAGTTGTGCTTTTGCGCAATGGCATTTGTTTTGACATCAGATCAGAAAAAAGTCTGCATTTTTTCCCAAGTTCTTTGTGTTTTTGACCTCCAGGTTTTGCACAAGTATCATTGCACAGGATAAAAATGGAAATATATACCATGGCCGCAATATGGATTATGCTTTTGGAAGTATTTTACGCAAGGTTACCATTGAAGTGGACTTCTTACAGAATGGGAAGGTACAAACAGGGTTGGCAGTGATGGAAAGCTCTTGAGTGATGTGCAGGAAAAGCAAAAAGTACCGCATGCATTTCTCTAGTGGGGAAGATTATAGAGCAATTCTCAAGCCCTTGACTTGTCGGCATTTCCACACTACTGGGGTGATCCCTGAAAATCAGGGTGCATTTGTCGGGAACAAATCCTGCCAAATGAGTCTTATTTTATTTTTTGAGCAGGTAACATTATTAATAGACCATGGAATACTGCAAACATAAATGCCCCATTATATTCTGATTAGCAAGGCAGCTTAGCTGATGCAGGGACCACTATAACCAGTTGGATCCACAGTGGTTCCACATCAAGCTGGAAGGAGGCTTTGAGTGGGATGCAGCAGGGTGTACTTCTGGGCCCTGGACTCGTCCACATTTTTATTAATCGCTCAGAGGAAGATAGTGATGGAGGGATGTTTATCAAATTTGCTGATAACACAAAATTGGGTAGGACAATTCAGGAGACAGACAAAATTCAAGAAGATTTTGGTAGTTTGGAAAACTAAGCAGAAAATAGCAATGGTATTTAGCTAAACCTAGTCAGTGTCCTTTATTTAAGGAAAATAAATACTCATACACAGGTATATTTATTTATATTTTTAGAATTATATGCCCCATTAGTCCTGCTGGAGTCTCTAGGCAGGATGGATGATACGATGGGGCATACCTGTCTTGATGGTAATACATGTGCAAAAGACCTTGGAGTCGAGGGAGCGGTGGGATGCGTCTGTGATGTGCAAAAAGCAAATGTAGTTCCAGGTAGCATCAGGAGACGTCCAGTTTGGACTGGTCAGACCTCAACTCAGATAATGAGTCTAGTTCCAGACATCCCCCTCTAAGAAAAATGTGAGATGAAGTGGAACAAGTTTGGAGGAGGGCAACAACGATGATCAGGGAACTAGAAATGAAGTTCTATGGGGAAGATTGAAGGAGCTCAGTAAATTGAGCCTTGAATACGGAAATCTCAAGGCAAGACTCCTTGCAGAAGACGTAGAAACAGAGTGCGTCAGAAGGGGCCTCCCAGGCCATCTAGTCTGACCCCCGGCTCCAGCTGGCTCCACTCACGACATGCCCACCATGTGCATTTCAACCATGCTAGGCAAAGTTAAAGGCCAAGAAAGACCAGATATGAGATGGGTGGACTCGTCAAGGAAGCCACAGCCTTCACTAAGAGCTGAGCAGGACTGTTGTGGCCGGGTCATCCTGGAGGGCTTTCCTTAATGGGGTTGCCAAATGTCAGAGATGAGTGCACAACACGTAACCATACAGGGAAAACTAGGGAGGTTATGATAGCCCTTTCCAAGTACCTAAAGGGTAGTCATAGAGAAGATTTCAGCCTGTTTTCTGTCATTCAAGACCATGGGATGCAAAGTATCTTAGTCACAGGAAGGCGGCTTTGGATGGCGCATGAGGGAAAAGTTCTCATGCTTGGAGCAGCCATGCACTGAAACCAGCTTCCTTGGGAGATGGTTGCTTTCCATTACTGGATGTATTCAAGCAAAGACTGGACACCTGTCTCTCCGGGAAGCTTTCAGCTGGACTCCTGATGGACTCTTCCAGCAGCAAGAGCCTAGCTGAATTTTGTGGACTGCACAGGGTAAAGATTACCAGAAAACGTGTCACGAACATTTGCTGTTCATGGTACAAACTGCTCTCTACCCATTTAATATTCATGTTCCATTTAGATAATGGTATGCTCTATATAGTTGTATTAAAGAAGAAGCTTTGGCTTGGTGTTCCTTTGTTTTTAATGCAAAGTATGTTCTAATTTTGCTAAATTGTAAGCTGCTAATTTATGTTCTTTAATTTTCAGGTGAAGTTCAAGGGCACTACCTTTTTTGGTTATGTTGGCTTATGGACAGGACAGAGTCCACAGAAGTTCACCATCACTGCGGACGAGCGAGGTGAGCTCATTTCATGGAACAACGATGTGTATAGTCTGCATTGCAGGCAGAGTGGGTTGGGAAAAAGTGTGCGATTTCCAGGTATGCTGCTCAGTTTGTACCCTGTATTTTAATTGTAATTCTGTTAGCTTTCTACTGAGATCTGGATGCTAAAGGCAGGACGGAAGTGTGGAGAGTGCAAGCTGGAACAGAGAGAAACATAGAAACAGAGCGAGTCAGAAGGGGTCTTCCGGGCCATCTAGTCTGACCCCCAGCTCTAGCCAGCTCTGTTCACAACATGCCCACCATGTGCATGTCCAGCCTATCCTTGAACACCCTGCGAGAGGATGGGCGCTTTCTGAGGTCTCTGCCCCTGAGAGTTAGAAAACCATTTCCACCAATTGGTTTCATTTCCAAGATCCACTTTTCATGTGCATCCTTTATCTCTGTAGCACACACATCTTTTGCACAAAAGCATTCGAAAGATACACTTTAATCATATTGTGAGTTGCACAAAGGTTCATCTCTAACTGTAACTGTCCTGGAACAATCAACTGCTATTGAAATAACCCACAACTATTGGGTCGGTCCAGGATGGCGTAGCTGACCCACACTTTGCATGTTCCAGGAGCAAATGCTTTTGCACTTTACAGACATGGGAGAAAGTACATTCCAAGCACAGTGGAAGTGGACTGTCTCTGGGGCAAAGAAGAACCAGTTCTTATGTCTTTTAAAGTGTGTCTGTTCACAGGAATACTTGAGTCTCTTGAACTGTTTGAACTGAATTCTTTCATGCACATCCATGGCTTCTAGTCCTGTGGCTAAAAACTAGCTCCTGTACCAGAGGCAGTGTGCCTGTACCCACCAGCTGCTGGGGAACATGGGCAAGAGGGTGCTGTTGCATTCATGTTCTGCTTGTGGATTTCCCGTGGAGACATGGGTTAGGGTACCCGTGTGAACAGGGAGCTCACCTAGATGCCCATTTGATTCGAAGCAGCATAGCTCATCCACATGATCTGTGTTCCAATTATTTTCTCTACTCTCCTGCAAGGGTGTGAATATGCCATTTGGATCCAGAGCATGACACTTTGGAAGAGAACTGCTTACTCTTCCCACCCACCTGCAAGAGGAGTGAGCTTAAAAACAAGAAAAAATGTGTGCATCATTCCAGCAAACAAAACATAAACAAGAAAAGCATAAATTGGCATGTTAAAATGTTCAAAAGTTCAGTACGTTAACAGGGCTGGGCGAGGTGAAACAAGTAGGATATTTTGAGCCATGCAACAAACAGTTAACCTGTTGGTTCCCAAGGACTGTCAGAATGAAAACTTCCTTGCCAGATGGAAAGATGACAGCAAAGTCCAAGATTAACCTACCTCCAGAAGACTAAGACATGTGCATTCCAAAGTCCTGAAGCTACCTGCGTCCTGAAATCAAACGTAGTTCAGAAAAACATTTACCTTTCTTATCTTTGCAATGTGGAGGTGAAGCTTACGTTATTTAGAGTGCACATTCCATCTCAACATGTGTGGAGTGGTACAGACTCATCTCAATAGTTACATTTGCACTCAAACTGTGCAACAAAAGTGCAAAGTTTCTTGGCCTCTGTGTGAACAGAGTATTACTATTATTACATTTTTTAAAATACTGCCCATAGCCATAGCTCTCTGGGCAGTTTACAACAGTAATCATAGAATCATACACTCCAGTCACCCATCTTAATTCTGGCCGGGCCTGATCCTGCTTAGCTTCCAAAATTAGGCAGGATCAGGCACTTCAGGCTATATGGAAGCTTGTACAAACTAGAGGGACCATGGTCTGATCCGGCACGGCTCTTATGTTCATTTGACAGGTTTAGAAAACACCTGAGGGACAAGAATGAAATGCAAAAGGCCCCTGGGACTCTTTCTGTGCCCCCAGTGGAATTTGGCCTTTTGCCACGGACCACACCTGGCAGGTGTGTGGCACTTGGTTTGATTTCCGAAATCCGTTGCTGGCGGTCAGTTCAGGCATCTGGCACAAGCAGTCAGTCGCTTTCCTGGCAGCCTGCGGGCGGGAAGGAATGAAGAGGGGGAGTGACAGGGTGCTAAAAGGAGTGGCCCCCCACGTTTTGCTCCTGCCGCCCACTACTGGTTCTGGCCTCGCTCACTGCAGTCATGGGGCCCATGAGAGGTTGCCCATGAGAATGGAAAGAAAGCTTGCCCGTCCCCATCACTTCACACCAGCAACTGAACCCAGTCGTTCGAGCCAGCTGTGCTTTCCTGAAGCAGATGCTGGCTGTGTGATTTTCCAAAATGCTCTGCACATCCACAGGGACTAGAGACTTAAGAAATAAGTAAATGTGGAACAGCTTATCTCCATAAGTACTGGTCTTTCGGACATCTCTGTGCTGCAAGGGGGTTCATACCTGAGAAACTTCCTCATTTTGGCTGCTTTTAGGGGCCGGGCCAATGCATGGTTGGGTGACCTTAGACTTTGACATGACATATAGAATATAATCCCAATTTTAGTGGGCATGTTCTGTGAACTTAGCTTGTTTTCTCCAAGCTGCTGTTACTGATCCTGACCATCAGCATAGCAGAGATTAAACACTAAAACCATGAATGGCTGGCTAATTCTCCTGGTTTTTCACTCTCATTTTTATAGACCGTGGTAGCTGGTGGGAAAATGTAATAGCTGGTTTGGTGCAACGAAATAGTCCGGTCAGCTGGCTTATCAGGACTGTAAGTACACGCCATGTCATCTTTACAATGCAATCCTGTGCATGTCTACTTAGAAGTAAAATTCCACTGCATTGAAATGGGTGCAAATACTCAGAAGTAAAATTCCACTGCATTGAGATGGGTGCAAATACTCAGAAGTAAAATTCCACTGCATTGGGATGGGTGCTCACAGCCCTTGGGAGCAATTGTACGCAGTTGGGAGTTGTAGGCCTTCATTCCATCTCTGCTAGCATCGGGCAACACCCCTAGACTCATTGCTTGCTCTTCTGACCTCAGTGATGACCTCAGTGATTCACCTTCTTGCTTATGAAATTATACTGTTCCCTTAAGTTGTTAAAGGAGCAATCCTATGGTCTGAGGGACCAGCAAATACTTTGCAGATTTGAGATCATAATTATGGTTCCAACCTCACAGTGGGGAAACCCACAATTTGTCCCCCTGACAGCCAGAATGAAAAGAACCCCATTGGCTGCCTCTCCAAGGCCATGAGTATGGTTGTTCTGAGGCCTGAAGTGAACACATGGATAAATACTGTCTTTCAGGCACTTTGCCCTTAAGGACTAGAAGCATTCTTTTAATTGCAAGCTCATGTTTTCAGGATTCTGACAGAGGGGGCAACTCAGCTAACCCAGGGACTTGTGAAGTGCATAGTACAATAGATATGCTCGCTCCAGACACAAGTGGGTTTCTGTATCATTAAGAGTCACGTAGAAGCAAGAATTTTACAGCATTGTGACAGGAAAGCTGTGCCTGATGTGATGCTTGCCTTCTGAACTTCTGCTTTGAAAGCGCAGAACTGTCTGCTCTGTTTTTGGCTTCACTTTAGACTTTGACTAAAGCAGAAGACTTTGAGGCTGCATCATTTATGCTGGCCGAGACGCCGATTATAGCAGATGTCTACTACATCATCGGAGGTACCACTTCCCGGGAGGGATTGGTCATCACCAGGAAGAGGAGTGGCCCTGAGGATATTTGGCCCTTGGACCCTTCAACCGGAGGGTGAGCATCCTTGCAAGGAAAGGCGTCTCTTGGGCCCAGTTCAAAGTTTTCGTTCTTCTATTCATTCGTTCTGCTTTATTCCACCTGAAACTCTCTTTTGCAACAATTCAGAAAGGTTCACAATAGTTCCTAAGAGCAAAGACCACAAATACAAGAAAAAAAGCATTCATTTTTTTCCCTGTAGGCAAAATGTAAAAAAAAGAATTTAATGGCTAAACAAACTAGACATATAGAAAACAGCTGACAAAAATTCTCCAGCTGGTCATCGAATATTCTTTAATACCTGAGAGAAGAGGGCAGGCCTAGCCTGGTGCTGAAAGGAGGGCAGTGTTGGCACCAGGTGGGCCTCTGTGGGGAGAGCATTCCATAGCTGGGGGCCACCAAGGAGAAGTCTCTTCCCTACTCCACCACCCTCCAGACCTGCCTAGGAAGTGGCAGCTAAGCAGCAGCTTCAGATATTGCTCATATTGTCCTGGTAGATTCAGGTCAAGGGGATACAGGCCTGCACAAGAGGAGTAAGAAGAGCTCCTGGGTGGCTTTGGATCTGGTGGGGGAGCGTGCCCTGTCCACACAAGGTCCCTGGCAGGATGAGTCCAGTCCAGACCAGACCACTCAAGAGTGCCAGAGGCTGTTCTCATGCACCGTATGGAAAGGCTCAGCCTCCTGGACCAGATGTGCCCATCCCCATCCCGTTTCTCCTTGTGGAGTTTCTCTCCTCTTACTGTATCGCCTGCTCTTCTCCCTCTCTGATCTCCCTTCTTCAGCCCGCTTTCTTCCCACCACCGTTCAGGGGTGCTGCAGAGGAGAGCTGCGGTCGCCCCCCCATGTGGGTTCCACGTGGAGGAATGAAGATGCGGAGAGCGGCTGCAGCTTCCCCCGCAGAGTGACCAAGCCCCTCTGGACTGTCCAGCTGAGGGGGCTCCCCTGGCCTTACCTGCCAGCACCCCCTGTTTGAGGAGCTCTCTCTCTAGCTGAGCTCTCACAGCACAGCTAGGGGTCCGTGCTGCCAGCGGCCAGGAAGTTAGACAGGTGGGCACAGCTCCCCACGCCGGCATCCACCCCTGCATGTTGAAATTGGACCCCCACCGCCCGCTTGAGTTGAAGTCAAGGAAGGCAGTCCCTGCTGGGCTCTGTGGCAGCTCCCTTGACTCCTGAGCGGTGTGTTGACTACGGTCACAATCCTGCACATGGTTAGGCAGCCAAAGTCCCAGCATTCCCACAGCCAGGATGCCTGCCTGGGGAATTATGGGGATTATTGGGCTGTTTTTCTCCGCAGCATCGCCCCTCCTCACTTGCTCATCTCCGGGCATTTAAATGGAAACACACAAGGCGGAGCCTTTTCCCTAGTGGCCCCCACACCCCTGGAATAGGCTGTCACCTGAGGTCCATGAAGCCCATCACTGCAAGCTTCTTGGAAGCCCACGTTACAGACATTTGATTTGAAAACATTTAGAAGGCGCCAGGTTTCAACCCCTGCAAATGAACACTTCCCCTTTGCAATGTTATGACAACATTTAACTGTTCTTTGGCTTGTAGTTGGTACCTGGTGGAGACGAACTATGACCACTGGACCACCCCACCTCCGTCTGATCTTCGAAGGTATGCTTTGCTGGGAGGGGGCTGGGCCCAGATGCCCCTGTTTGTTGAAGGGACCTGGTTGTACAAAGGAGCCCCTGTGGTGTGGCAGGAATGACTATAACCATCTAGACCATCCAACAGAAGGAGTTGGATCCTCCACAGCATATTCAGCTTTGGGAGGAGAAGACCTGGGGAAGAGATCATAGCCCTTGTCAGATGTGCAGGTCGAGGAATAATGTGCTCAAGTTGCAGAAAGCCAGATTCCAGCTAGATATCAGGAAGAACTGCCTGATGGTCAGAACAGTAAAGCTGGGAGGTGGTGCGCTGTCCCACACATTCAAGCGGCAGCTGGACGGCATCTGTTAGGGGTGCTTCAACTTGCAGTCCTCACTGAGCAGGCGGTTGGGCTCAGGGCCTTCTGGGCCCCTTCCAACTCTACTCCTCTGTGATTCTGTGCTTCTAACACCGGCAGCTCTCCGGGTGGCTCAAAATACTGCATCACATCCCCCCAAAAAATCCCCGCTGCAGACCACAAATGCAGTGTGCTCTTTCTATTCCGCATCTCGCTTCTTCCCAAATTAGAGAGAATGATACAAAACACACACATGTATATGGAAGCCTTGCAAATCTATTTTTAATAGCCGGAATATACATTCTTGTGGGCATATCACCACCTCCTGCTGCCAAAGGGGGCCCTCTTTCTGGGCTAGTGGCAGCATGGAGGCAGGGCAGGCTTTCACTGGGACTGCGGCCGGGAAGGAAAGGGTTGATCCTTCCTGCTCCTCCAAGAGAAGTTGGGAGCGCTTTCCAGTGATGCATTCAGCATTGTTTCTCCTTTGACCCCAGGGGTCTTCCTGGGCGTCCTATGACATCCTCTGTGTTTCTCACAGAATATTTCTTCTTTGTGCTACAGGATTGCAGCCATGAAAGCACTGAATGCCACTGGACAAGCCAATATTAACCTCGAGACTCTCTTCGAGGTAAGTCCTTTATTTTATATCATGCTCCTTTAAAACTAAAGCCTCTTCCCCCAGAGTTTTCTGCTATAGTAAATTCCGTGGCAGGATTGCTCTGGCAGCCAAAACGAGGATGGCATGTCAGCAGAGGAAAACGGTGTTGCAGGAATAGAAATATAGAAACCAGCAAGTCAGAAAGGATCTCCCAGGCCATCTAGTCCGACCCCCGGCTCCAGCCGGCTCCACTCATGACATGCCTACCATGTGCATGTCCAGCCTATCCTTGAACACCCTCACCGTTGGGGCTTCAGTCGCCTCCTGTGGAAGCCCATTCCATGCCCTAGGGGCCCTAACCGTTAGGAAGCACTTCCAAATTGAACCTTCTCCTCTAGTATGCATCCCAGGGTGCAGCGCTGCTCACAGTGGAATGAGGGCGGAGAAAGGTAAGGCCAGGGGAAAGCCCCTCTGCAGGTGCAGCAGGTGTCCCAAACCAGTGCCAGCCAAACTGAGGATGCAGGAAGCAGCTGGCCCTTGTGGGCTGTGTAAAGACGCACGCGCAGCCCCGAGTCAGGGCTTGGTAGACGCAAGGAGGGGCTGCCTTCTTCATTTCAGTGCACCCCGCCCTGCCTTTAAAATTTTTTTAAACGAACACTAAAAACATCCACTATCAATTACATCAGACATACTGTGTCAGCCCCCTACTCATTCATTTTTCCTTTTTAACATTCTTTAGTCATATGCAAATCCATTTATAATAACTTGAAAACATATTTAAATCTAAGCCAAGTCCAAAAAAACCCCCCTGTTTAAATCTATGGAAAGTCCCATATCTCTAGCCAATAATAAAGGAAAAACTCTCCAAGTTTGATAGAAGTGGCTCCACTTTATCCTCAGGACAACAACCCTGTGAGTCTGAGCGACGGCCCCCAATTCCCCCAGGGAGCCTCGTGGCCAAATGGGGAGTGGAACTCGCTTCTGCCAGTTCAGCACTCTGACCCTGCTCCACACTGGCTCTCACACGTCGTACTGGGATTTTTTAAAATAGCCCAACCCGGACTGGCCTCTCTGTACAACTTCATCCCACATTTGTCTGATAGCTGTTGGTCTCCTGGTGCTGTGTGGATCGGTGCGCTCTGCAGCAGATTCGGGGGCTTTCCAGAAATAGGTGCAGGAGTCTGGGGTCACATGGCCCTGGCAGTGTGCGCAGGTAGACTCCGTGCAGCTCCTTGCAGCATGTGACTTCTGGAGGCAGCGGGCTGCACCACAGCACCCAGCAGAGAAGGGGCGACTGCTTAGCTTCTGTGCCCCCATAAAAATATTTGGCACCTTCCATGCTTAGAGCCTTGTGTCCCTCAGGTGGCAGCCATGCAAACTGAACGCTTTGCAGTTCCAGGTGGTGGCACAATGGAATGTGGAAAGGGCACGAGGGGGGGAGGGGGTGACTGCTTCCGCAAGGCCCTGCACTAAGACGGTTTGTGATGTTGTGCAACCCGGCGGCTGAATGAGTTCTCGCATCAGCTCGGGGGTCCAGCCCAGAGCATCCTCCAAGGGCGACTGTGAGGCTTTCCTCGGGGATTGGCCAACAGGCGCCCGTAAGAGCAGTCAGCACCGTATTTGGAATCTAATCTGGGCAGGTTCTCGTTAAGATGTTGTAAGAACAGATTATGGGCTGGGCTTGGTCAGGCCCTTGCAAGGAAAAACGATGCAGGCTTTTCCACAGTAATGCCATCTGGACTGGAAGACCTTCGTGCTTCATTTGATTGAAACGTTCCACATCTTCCACCGGAAAGAAGGCTCTTGCGGTAGTTTCTCATGTTTTCTCATAAGGGATCCGAAAGGCTTCCCCAGTTTCCTGAGCAGACTAAATGCGCTTACTTTCACACGTTAAGAAAAAGAGAAGACTCAGCCACAAACGATGCAACTAACACTGCGTGTAGATCAAGCCTGAATGTGCAGAGCTGCCCCGTTTGAAAGCAAAACCATTCCATGCCTTTCCAGGGCAGATTTCGTCACTAAACAGGTTGTTCTGCCACATGCTGGGGACTTCCAGCCATGCGCCATCCTGACCATCTTCCCTTTTTCGTTTCTGTTTCCTTTCCAGGTACTGTCAGTACCGCCAGTTCTGAACGTGTAAGTTTGTTTGCAGCTTGCTAAGAGTGCCTTGAGAGATGCGTGCATGCACCTGTAGGGTAGATCACCTCTAAAGGGCTGTAGGGAATCGCTGGGGCCAGAGGCACGATGCCACTGAATACCTTTTTGGGGGAGCAACCAGCACTGTTACCTTTATGGCCTGCTTGCAGGCTTCCCGGGGCATTAGGACTCCAGGCAATCCAGCAGGGCTACATGACGCGACCAGTCTCTGCATTTTCACTAGTGGGATCTCTGCTGAGGGGGTTAAAATATATACATGGTTTTATGAGGGATCCTGGAGGAGTCAGATCCAGTGGGGTCAAAGAAGTCATCTGTTCCAGGATGCACTTGGGCCAGAATGACAATCCCATGGGCACCTGTTCCTATTCTTTACCAGGTTCACCATTTATACCACTGTCATGAGTGCTGCAGCGCCAAGCAATTACACGACACGGATAAGGACCCTGGAATAAATGGGTAAGTCCTGCATTAATGCGGATTAGAATGGGCACCTCAGGCCCTTCGTAGTTCTGTGCAAATACCCAGTGGTGCTGGCTGCAGTTCAGGCCTTCCAGCTGACGGGGAGGAGAAGCCTTGTCCAGAAAGGTGTACCTTGCTCTTTTCCACCCAGCCACAGTGATCTGTTGAACCGGAGTGAGGCAGAGAGAAGGCATTAAACCTGTTGCTTATTCAAGGCCTTTGTCCTCTCCTCTGCAGGGTGATGCAGTTGTTGGTTTGATAGCTATTTTTACTGCATACTTCTTTGATACACACAGCAAAAACTGAAGATAACCAACAAATTGGGATTGTGAAATAAGGTAACAGTCAAAGGCCATAGCCGTGGGGAAGCTGCCGGGGCCCATATGGCATCATCCCCTCCACTGAAGCCCTTTAGAATCATTAGGGTTGTTAAATCATCCAGGTAATTCTTTCCATAGCAGGGTGACCTGAACAATATTGGGCAAAAGTCATCTACCTGCTCTGTGCTACTTTTTCTGCCTTCACCCTTTTAGGGTGCAATCCTATGGATGGTTAAATGGCGAAAGGGCCTCCAGTGTCCAGCATTCCCTAGGCTGGCATGCTGGTGGAGGAATTCTGGGAGATACAGGCCTTTCCTCTGTCAAAACATTCACAGAATGGCACTCTGATTCAGTTTTTCCGTTAGTACTAAAACGCAAGGTTTCCACTGCAGCCAATTTATTTGGCTTCTGATTTCCAGAGGGTTGCAATTTCCATTTTAGCAGCCCCTCAGAAATAGTTAAGAGAATGTTAACTGAAGATGTCATGCCAGTCAATATCAAGATTTACCAGCCCCAGTAAAGGGAGGAATGTAATCCTCTGACCTGTGCCAGATTGATTGATTGTTTCATTGATTGATTTTAAATAAATAGATCAGCTGCCTTAAACACATCCAACCAAACTGTGTACCTGGCACAATTTATTGCATTCTTACTGCTTTGCATTGCATCCTGCCCCATTTCCTCTTGCAAGGAAGTCAAGGCGGCATACATAGCTCCATTTTATTTCACAACAACCCTGTGAGGTGGGTTAGGCTGTGAGTGAGTGACTGGCTCAAAGTCCCCCTGTGGGCTTCACAGCCAGGTGGAGACTAGAAGGTCCCCAATCCAACACTGTCACCACCACACCTGAGCACCATTTCCAACGCAAAGGTTGGGGGAGGACATTTTGAAAGACCCTCCTCCCCATGTGCAAAATGAGGGCTTGTCTTCTCCAGATGCATGCATCAAGGTCGGCAGTGAGTTGACAGTGGCCTGTTGTGCAGATGCACACAATCATTGCAGCTGAATGTTTGCACTCTCGGCACTTGAGCAAAGGACACAGCAGGAAATTTGGGTGCTTTGGATGAGCTCCTGCGAGCTTTCTGCTGGGAGAAGTACCAGTGCATTTCGGGGACACGTTGTTCTGTAATGCCAACCGTTCAAGCCATATGAAAACCGCTATTGCAGAAGCATCCCGTGAAGAGGGCAGAGGGCTGATTAGGTACCCAGTCCAATAGCCGTGTTTGCTCTGTCTATTTTTCAAGTAGCTTTCCTTGTTGCTTGTGGAATTTAGATTCAGTCCCAAATTGTGAATAACAAGCTTAGAGACTTTACAGATTGATAGATTTCATTGTATCTTTGACACCTTGCTAGACTCCATTATTGTGGATTTGTAAACATCCAGTTTTACTGTGTAATACACACACACACACACACACTCATTGAATAGACACAAACTCACTGAATCTAACAATGTAAACAAGTTTTGAAGTAAGACTGGCACTGAATGGGACTCAAGTTTGTACAATTCACTTTAAGAAGGAATGTGTTTGTTAAATTGTCTCCGTCTCTTCTCTTTGCTTTTACCAGAAAGGGAAGAAAGATCCCTTTTGAAAAACCAAAGGCTGGACTGTCTATGCCATGCATCCAGAGGATAAAAGCATCAAGACGGGTCTCGTGCTTGGAATTCACCATCCTGAAATAAATCTGCAACAAATAACTCCTAATCCCTAGTGATATGAAGATAGCACATTGATGATATCTGGTGAAAGGTCAGAAACAGGAAGAGAGAATTTGGCCAGGCCTGGATGTCCAGGAGTAAGAGGCACATTCTGCCATTCTCAGCCACCTCCCCAGTGATTGGTAAATAGGAGTGTGGATTCTGCAGAAATGGATAGGCTTTCCTCATCCCCAGAGGTTTCGGAAGCGAAGACTTCCTGGTGCTGAATCCGGTTACCATGCCACCCAATTCGTTTCATCTTTTCATGACCTTTCTAGCAGGTAGTGCCCGCAAGGTGTGTGATGCAGCCCCCTTGCTGAAGCCAAGCCAATGCGTGCCTGATCATTACCTGAGCAAGAGCCTGCACCTGTGCGGCCTTGGTGTGCACAGAAGGAGGGCTGGACAGGGGTGAGATGACGCCGAGAGCGCAGAATTGCAGCAGGAGGGAATAAGGGTGAGTGCTTGCCGGAAGTGACCCAAGCAGCCACCGCCCCAGCACTGCTCCTGTTCTCAGGCTGCTGAGGAGCTAGAAAATGCGGACGCAGCAGAGGGCGTGAGGGAAGCCTCGCTGGTGCACAGAGCCTTTCTCCTCAGCTCACGAAGAGGGGCACCAGCAGTAGCCCAGCGATCCCCCAACTGTACGCAGCTTGTGCTGCAGTGTCCCCAGACCCAGGGACCCCCAGATGTGTTGGATAGACAATTCCCAGAATCCCCCAGCCAGCATAAATGGTCAGCCTAGCACACGGATTTGTTCTCCGACTTCAGTGCCTTAGTTCTGGTGTTCAAAAGACCTTTTTAACTAAAGCGTTGATGCTGTATTTTAACCAGCCCCACCACTGTGCCTCTGCGACAGTCTGCTTGCAGCTGCTGTGGTCTTCTTTTCTGTCTTTTCTGTTGTGTGTTTTTAACTTGGTTAACCACCCAGAGAGCTTTGGCTGTTGGGTGGTATAAAATGAAGGAAATGAACAAATGAACCGTTAATCATGAATTGCATTTTTTCTAAAATGTTTCACATGTTAGTCCTCAGATGATTAAATTACAGGGCTTGGCTGCCGCTTACTGGTAGAGCACTTGTTTTGCACGCAGAAGCTCCAGGATTCGGCCCCGACACCTGCAGATGGGGCTTGGAAAGAAACCCAGGAAAGCCCCTGCTGCAGTCGGTGCTGACGGCACAGGCCTTGAAGACCCCGGAGTCTGATCAGCTGCTCCTTGTGTATGCTTTGCTGCTGTTCTTGGAACCAAATATTGGATGAGAGCCTTGAAATAAAGTGACTTTCTCCCTGTTTGTCTTAAGTCTCTTTCCAAACCTTCAATTTCCCTGTCAGACACCTAGAATACCTCAACTTTAGTGGGGTGGAGAGGTCTGCCCGCTCCCCTTATCCAATTTCCTTGTGCAGAACTTTCCAAAAGGTCCTACCATTGCAGAAGCAATTGTCTCTCCAAGGTTCCCTCAGCCTGAGAGTCCTGCAGAGGTGCTGCTGGCAGTGATGGGAATGGCGGTCCGTCTAGGGGGCTCTCAGCTGAGAAAGGCCGGCCTGGTTAGTTCCTGTATGACGTCCCTCTGTAGCTTACCTAACCGAAGAATGTGGAATACGAGGCAGACCAAGCCAGTCTCCTGGCATGTGCCCTGCCTGCATTACCAAAGGTGTTCCTCCAAGTGTCTTCAACAAGCGAGGCTCAGAAGGTGGGAACCAGGGGCAGTGCCTTCTAGGGGGTGGCCCCCCAATTTTGGAATGAAATCCCAAATGTAGCCCTCCTGCCACCGGCTTATCTTTGCAACACTTGACTGAGACCCTTTTCTATTGCCCATCATTTGGCAACCTGTGTTAGGCTTGTACTTCACGTGGCTTGTTTTGACTTCACCCCACAATATGGTTTAGTGAGGTATCTCCGCTCTATTTATGTGCTTGTAACCAAACTGTCTTGACATCATCATCATCATCATCATAACATTTCTATGCCACCCCTTGCCGAAGCCTCGGGGCGGCTTACAACACAATAAAATACATTGAAATACAATAGAACATAATAAATTACCACTAAATACAAAAAATACACTGAGATACAAACATAATAATATAAAATTAAAATTAACAGTATAAAATAAGTAAATAAAGAATATAGGAGGAGAAAAGAGAAGGAAGAAGAAGTTGCTCTGGCCAGATCATATATTTTAACAATTAAAATGATGTTTAAATAAAAAGGTCTTTACCTGGCACCGTCATTACTGGTTTTTCGGCGCCAGG